AGGCTAGAGATACAAACAGTCTCAAGAAAAGTAGCTAAGTGGATTGATATCCTAAGCATAAAGAGTTACAGAGGGAATACAGAAATAATTATGAGATGCATAAGCTTCTTAGTATGAAATCACGTAACCATACCTCCTAACAAAAATTTCCCTTGCTGCTACAATCAGAGGCAGAATAAGCTAAAAACCAGTCTGCCCCTATAATGTATTTCTTAGATTTTATAAACATAATAATGAGATTTTTTTCTTGATAAAATTTCTATAAAATTTTTACTTTTATACTTATAAAAAGATAAAAATGATACATTGCTAGCATGAAGTTAGTTCTAAATTTCACCTTACAAATAATCCATAAACATGAAGAAAAACTCTAAGAGTCCAACTGATTGCCAACACCCTACACAACTGCTTTTTATTTCCCAATTCAAAAATCTAAAGAATGATTACTCTAGATCAGCATTCTACACACTACGGAAGTTAATGTCAAGAAGTTAGTAAGTAATGAAGGAAAAAAACTCCAACATCAAATAAATATTCTCTTAGATAGTCACAGGCCAAAAAAATCCCATATTAAAGAAACTATTCAACTTCAACTTGCATTTCCTAAATTTATTTGGCCATGGAAACTTTTATCCCCCAGACAATTTATAAATTACGGACGTTATTTCTACAGCAGAGTTTAGGAAACACTGACCTAGTTACCTCTTTTATAGAAATTTAAGAGAATTGCTTTTATGAGTATATGTAGAGAGTTAAACGAGCTGAAAAATAATATGAACAATTTAATCTTTTCAAGGTCAAAAAGACTCCTTATTTCTGCAACTGGGGATAAGGATATGTGGCATTCTGAATTTATCTTCCCAAAAGAACAAATTATGACATGAGGTATAACCAATATTGAATAACAGAATCTCAGAACTTCAGAACAAGCATTCACATTTACAATCAGAGAATCAAGGCTCCCAGGACACCACTACTCACTTGGTTTTCCTCTCACATCGCTGGCCATTCTTTTTGTTTCCTTTGCCAATTCCTCCTTGTCTCCCTAATCTTTTATTGTTAGACTTACTAGAGCTCAGTCAGTAGACCTGCCTTTTCTCTGTTTCAACTGTATCCCCTGGTGACCTGCCTTTTCTCTGTTTCAACTGTATCCCCTGGTGATCTTTATTTTTCCAGGATTTTTCATCTTGGGACAATCATATATTCACATGCAGTTAAGAACTAATGTAGAGTGATTCCATGTACCCTTGTCCAGTTTCCCCAATATTATTTTACAAAATTATAGTACAACATCATAACCAGGATACTGACAGTGATTCAATATACCAATCTAATTCAGATTTCCCCAGTTTTACTTCTATTCATTACCATGGCATTTTAAAATGTTAAATGATATTTACAGCTTAGAACATTCCCCTAAACTCATACAGGTAAATAACAGTGACTCCACTGGATATCTAATAGGTATCTCAAACTAAAACATGTCACAAATCAAAGTCCTTCTCTTTCCCCCCCAAATCTATTCCTCTTAGTCTTTCCCATCTCAGTTAATATCAATGTCATTTTTCCAGTTACTCATACAAATAACTGTGGAATCATCCTCAACACTTTCTTTCTCTCACACTCCACATCTAAATCATCAACAAACTCAAAATATATCCAAAATCAAAGCTTGTTATCACCTATACTGCTAGCAACTTAGCCCAAGCCCCCACCATCTCCTACTCAGATTACTACAACTGCCCCCTAACTATTCTTCCTGATTCTGTCCTTGGTCTTCCACAGTTATTCTCAAGGCAGCACCTACGGTAATACATAAATTCTTCTGTATTTGTTTTTTTTGTTGTTGTCGATTATGATTTTTACTGAGGTATAAAACACAAAAATCTTTAATGGCTTCTTGTCTCAGAGGAAAAGCCAAATGCTTTACAATGGTCTATAAGTCATATGTAACAGGCCCACATTACTTTGCAGGCCTCATCTCCTCCCTCTTGCTCACTCAAGTGCAGCCAAACTAGTCTCCTTGCAGTTCCTCCTTCAGGTCTTTACTCAAATATCATCTCTCAGCGAGGCCTTTCCTGACCACCAAATTTTAAATGGCAGCCTACAAACTCTCTCACCCCATACTCCTTATCTTCCTTCTCTAACTTCATTTTTCTCCATAATATTGACCACCACTGAACATACTATGTCTTTTATTTACTTTTTATTCTCTCTTTCACCACTACAACATAAGCTTCAGGAGGACAGAGATTTCAGGCAAGTTTTCTAGCTCCTAAAACAGTGCCAGGCACAAAGAACATGCTCAAGAAATACCCACAGAATAAATAAATGAAGCGAGCTGGTCTAACAAAATGTGACAAAACAGAATAAGAATCCTTGTCCCTGCAATTTAGGAGTCATTTTTTTTCTGAGAATGGTGATGGACTCAAACTGACCCAATCTCACATTTTATTCAGTGGTAACCAAAAGCACACATGCATAAAATGGCAATTTCTAATCAGGTGAATAAATTATTTAGAATAACTTAATTGGATTCAAGCTAAAACTCACTGGCACCAAATTAAACTTCAACTAAAGTCCCATGGAAGAACACAAAATAGTACTCCTACGCTGTTATTATCAAGAATGTAGTTTATCCTATTTTTGAACTATAATCAAACTAGAACAAATATCTGTAAACACAAAAAGAACTTATGTTAACAATGAAAAGATGCTGTTTCTGGGCAAAATTTAAAAATATTTTTTTTAATTGTGTAGAAAGGTGAATGACAAAACTTTCCTAGAGACAGAGAAGACAGATAAACACTAGTATATCACCAAGTCCACCTACAAGCCACTTTGAGAGCTTTTGGAAAATCATTAATTTACAGTAGAAATTAGTTTGGAAGTTTAAAACTAATGTATTAACTTTTTTTAATTATTAATTACATGAAACATATTACATAATAAGTAGTCATCTAAACTGGCTTTGAATCTGTTTCAAAGTAAAAGAGTTCTAATTTTAGAGTAAAAAACACAACTAAGTCATACTTTCAGAATCTGCCTATCCTTATGGCAACTAAGATCACAAAAAGCGTTTTGCTCGTCTTCAATTCAAAGAATTCGTATAGTATAAGTGGTGACCTTTCACTTGAGCTGCAGGAAAAAATGTAAGATGCACTAAGTACAGTTTTTAGTCAGCAGGTCAAATAATAAGGCTTCCTTAAAACATTAAAGCAATGTGTACCTATTTATATGATAAAACCTATAGCTTTCATATAAAATGATTTATTAGTAAATAATTCCTGACGCACTTAAACTATACAATTTTAATTAAGAAAACAGCATCAAAACTGTTTAGCAGATCCATATGCAACATAACTAAAATTTAAAAATGTCAAATTTAAAAAATATACATGTATATGTGAAAAAAAAATATATGAAACAGTGCATTATTAGCCCCCATAATATTTAATGTTATCTTTACCCAAAAGCAACTATATTAATGGCTAAATAGATGTTAGCTGTACAAATATGTAACTTTAAAACTTGTTTTAAGGTCTACAATATGAGGTTTATTTTTACCTTAGAACTCACAATTATTAAGATAATGTTAATAATAATAATCTTCAAATAAGTCAGAGGCTATCATAATGTCTAATGGTCTGAACAACAGCCAAATTAAAAAGCTGTAAGTAGGCGGTGACAGGAAATCTGTAGAGAATTCTAGGGAATCTCGAGTCTTAACAAAACAAAGCAAACACTAAACAACATTTTTAAAGAAAAGAATATAAAAATAGACATAAAATCAATAAATCTGGAGAACATAAAACTATCAAAATTAAATTAATGTATTAAAAATAAAAAATGTGAGAATTAGTATTGTTGAAAACTAGAGTTAGTATTGGGAAATATATTTTAAATAACTGCATGGAACATAATTGTAGAGATCTGTTGTTCCAAGGACATGAAAATAAACATGGTTTCCTAACAACCAGAGTTTTTATATTCCTTGGATTATATTCATGCTAGAGGAAGATTAAAGGGCAGCAGCCAAATGACTAAACTTCAACTTAGATGTTGATGCACTGATCTGATGGCCTTTTCTTGGCCAGAAGTGACCCGCAAGCTTAAGATCAAGAGCCAAAGTCTCCTGTGGAAATTTGTGCTCAGTTTGGTGGGCTTTGAGACCATCTCTGGCTAAATTAGCATGAACCTTATGGGAGGCCAGCCATGAAGTAAGGGAGTCTCCCCAAGATCTGATTTCTTGACCACAACCTAGAGCAGGTCCTACAGTCAAATTATTCATATTCCTTGGAAAGAGAGAACAGGCATCAGTTGTGTCCATCGAAGGGGGACACTGTCCAGGTGTACCCTGGACATTTTTTGAAATCTCTGGGCTGCTTCTGCATCTGAAAAATAAGAAAAATAGCACAATGACAGACAACGAATGAGGAAAAAGACAATCATCGGGCCTAAACACTTAAGACTTATAAGAAATTAAGAAAGCAGACAAAACAGACAAAAAGACAAACAGCCATGTCATTTGGAATGTATTATTCTGAAGGCAAGTACAGCAGAGAAAAACACAAATTATTTTAAGCAAAGTAAGAAATGACTATAGCAACAAAAGTTATTTTGGAGAGAGCCAACTGGAAAAAACAACATGTTAAGATATGTCAACCTGACACAAAGATAAGGTGGAATAAGAATCTAGTCCCATTTGAAGCTGAAAAAAGCTGAATAATGAGAGCTAGTGTCATGAACTTGGCTGCTTAACTGCCTTGTGTAAGAAAACATCTCAGAACTTTGAACTTAGGAAATTCCAACTTGTCTTGCACCAGGTCACGAGCTCCAAAGAGCAGGAACCTATTTCAACAAGCAGCTTTAAAAAAAACAAAAACAAAAACAAAAACAAAATACTTTAATATTTTTCATTTCTATTAATGATACATTTTAAAATACAATAGTGCTAAAATCCATCAAAGTAAAATTCATTGAATAAAAGTTAAACTTACTCAGAAAGATGCTCAGAAGTTGGGATACAAACAGAAACTGAAATTAGAAGAAAAGTTTTATATTTAAAATAGCATATGAAATACGATGAGTGAGAATTATGATTTCATAAAGAGCCCGTATTGTGGCTCACCAAAAATACTGAAATAAATATCAAAAATCCAAAGTAACACAATTATAAATACACGTACCTTTCTCTACTACAACTTGGCAAGTATGAGTTTCGTGTTGACTTAAGTGTGTAGCCATATTATCTAAGCCAGTAACATCAGCTAGGAAATCACAGTTAAGGCACACCAAAGTAATGCCCCTATTTAAAAAAAAAAAAAAAGAGCAAATAGCAAAAAAGAAAAAGGTTTTTTATCTTTTATAAAAATCCATACAAGTTCAATGATTATTTCCCATAATTTGCTTTTTGTCATAATTGTCTCTCCCATTTTTTGTCATATAAACTCGGTATAATGGAAATGATTCTCTAGAAAATGGCACAGCCATATGCAAATTATATTATCATTAATTCACAGAAACTATTTTTCTTTATAAACTTTTACCTCTCAAACTAGTTGCTAAAAGCTAGGAGTTAAGAGACCTACAGCCTAGTCCTGGCTCCACGAACAACTTGTGTCACTTCAACAAGCCACAATCTACATGTGCCTCTGCCCATCTACAATGCAATGGTATAGTGTACATTCACTCAATGTATATTTACTAAGGTTGTCTTTATACATATTGTACTACTGTACTGTGAAAATAAATGAAAATACAGTCTGTGCTCTAATAAAGATTACAATCTAGTGTAATTATTTAGGTGAGGAAAGAATTAGAAGAGAAATGCGAAGGCTTTAAATATGGATCATGTTGTAGCTGCCATCATGTATGTACTATGTGTTAAAGATTTTTCCGTATATTATTTCATTTGACTCTCATTGCAATCATCTAAGGCTGGTATTATTCTCATTTAACATTGAATTAATTAAAGTAGTTAATTCAGTATTGGAGTCCAAAGCTTGAGTTGCTCAGCATCCCAGCACTGTGAACTAGCTAACTTGCTGGGGCCCTAAACTACTTCTTTCCTTAATAAAACTCCACTGAGTGTTACAGTACTTAAATGAAATATGTAAAGATTATAAATTTTCAAAAAGGCTGGGAAACAATTCCCATAGCATCTATATTTTTTATTAAATTCAGGAATAGTTTTTATAGTCATTATATCAAACTATGAAGCACTTGCTATTCAAAATATTTAAACATAACTGGCACATTATAGTACGTGACCACTGGCCTAAGATTCTAGTAAAAAATGTTTAAACTTTTGATTTTTAGTTGAAAGGTATTTTAAAATATTATTAAGCCTGCAAAAGTATGTAAATGTTTCAGAGAACTAAGAAAGCCACCTTATGTTTATCATAAGAGTTAAGAACTTGGGAGTGTGTTGGGTCAAGCATCTGAAGTGCCGTTTAAAAAAATAATAATAAATTAAATGTATAAATGTTAAGTTAAAGGAACTTGAATTGTAAATAAGACTATTTAAAAAAATTTAGTCTGTTCAACTTAATGAACTTTAATTAAGGCTCTCTTGAAAATGATTATTAAAAGGTACTTGATTTCTAAATGGAATATCTTTAAGTTAAATTTAAAAGCTTAAGGAAAGGTAAGATTTAAATACTAAACTTTAATGACTAATTAACTATAGTCTTCTCTATTAACAAACTATCCTCGCAAACACTAAAAGTGTTCTCAATGGTAAGTAGTAGCTAAATGCCTCTTTCACTGGGTATCGAAATTATATTGTAATTATTTACATTCACCCATATCTCCCACCCAATAAACTATACATTCCCTGAAGGTTGGTTCCAAGACTTCATCACTTTCATCTTTATAGAGGCGTAATAAATAGCTAAAGAATGATTATTCCATTCCAATAAGAGTAATTACAAAAATTACTGTTCTATATAAGTAGGTTACAGTCCATTCACAGAAACTGACCAATTATCAATTTGATACCTACTCAAGTTGAGAAAAAAAGAATCCCAGCTTCTAAAAATGATAGTTACTTAAAAACCGAACACACAACTAAGTTTGACATCAGTGAGGTAAAAATTAAACTAAATTCTCATCTTTTGAATGCAGTAAAACTCCTGTCATTCTTATAAAAATTTTCATAAGAAAATTTCATAAAGGCAACATCTAATATGGCTTAGTCTATTCCTTGAATTCAGTAAATGTTTTAAAATTAGTACTAAAATACTTTTCAAACTAAATCAACTTTTTTCTCTCTGTGAGCTACTGGTCCAACATCATAGATGGGTCCTGCTCTCTACATAAGTAATTTTCAACATACACTTTAATTTATTCAAAAAATAATTACTGAGTGCCCACTATGTGCCAGGCACTAATCAATGCCTTGCACTGACAAAAATCAAAACCACATCCATTCTAGTAAGAGGACACAGAAAATAAACAAAAAACATAAAGTACATAGTATATAAGATGATGAAAAATGATCTAGAGAAAAATGAAGTAAACAAAAAAGATAAGGAGTGCTGGGATGAAGTACAGGGCAGAGATACATTTAAAATTTTTGTTCTCATTTTATGATGCAAATGAATGAAGATTTCATCTTGACACCACTTGACACCACTTAAACAAATTTAGCAAGAGAATATAGGCTAATCATACCTCTAGTCTAATAATATGAATGGAACTTTGTCATATTTAGCAGCAATCACTGAGATTTCCAAATCTCAGTGGACATCTCAAGAGCAGGTTAAAAAAAGTTACAACAAACCCCGATGACATACTACTTCAAACCCACTAGGGTAGCTATAACCAAAAAGAGATAATGACAAATGTAGGCGAAGATGTGGAGAAACTGGAACCTTCCTATACTGCTGGTGGGAATGTACAAAAGTGGAGGTACTTTGTACAACAGTCTGCCTCAAAGGCTCAACAGTTACCATATAACCCAGTAATTCCTACCTCAGATATATACTAGAGAGAAATTAAAAGCCATGTCCAGACAAAAACTCGTACACAAAAGTTTATAGCAGTATTATTTATAATGGCTTCAAAGTTAAAATAACCTAAATGGATAAACAAACTATCGTATATCCATACAATGGAATACTTATTCAGCAATAAAAAATAAAGTACTGATATATGCTACAACACAGATGAACACTGAAAACATGTGAAATGGAAGAAGCCAATCAATCACAAAGGATAACATATTGTATCATTCCATTTATATGAAATGTCCAGAATAGGCGAATTTATACAGACAGACAGAAGATTAGTGGTTACTTAGGGATAGGGGAGCTGGAAGGAAATGGAATGACCATAATGAGTACAGAGTTCTTTCTGGACTGATTAAAATGTAATAAAATTAATTGTGGTGATGCCTGTACAACTCTGTAAATATACTAAAAATATTAATTGTAAAATTTAAATATGAAGTTGCATGGTATATGCACTGTAGCTCAATAAAGATGTTATATAAAAAATTTAAGTCATACAATTTTTCAATAGAAAAAATTTAAAAAAAATCAACTAGTTACCTGAGATCTTCTGAATGCTTCTTAAAAATACAAAATCTTTTACTTGGACGGTTACTGTGAAAGCTGGAGAGACAAAAAAAGATTTTATGAATTTTATTCTAAAGTAGTCATATTAATTTATAGCTATAGTCACATCTATAATTAAGTTTCTAGTTTTGAGTAAGAGGCCATGATATAAATAATAAAATATTTGTTATCCTTGCATTAATTCAACATTCTATCTTATATTCTATTTTATCTATTTATTTTCTGATGACACGAACTTCTCTAAGTATATTCTTATATGATCAGTCATACAATTTATAATTTATCAGTCATAAAATTCATCATTACACAAAAAGGTAAATATTCAAGTTTTAAAAAAAGTAAAGCACAAATTAATATTTTTCTGTTAAGAACTGAAAACAATTAAAAATTTTTGCTAATAACATTTTGCTATAGTATGGTTATCGATAATAATCATTATTCTTAAAAAATCATTTTTCTAATTCTAACATGCTTATGTCAGGGAAGGGAGATAGAATCCAAATGATCCTGGAAGTAAACAGTATTCAAGCTAAACACTACTGTTTGCCATTTGTAAAATCAGAGAGTACTTTGCAATTACTAGTAGAGATTTTTAAAAAAACAAATTAAAGCAGAACTCATGAGCTAAAACAATGCTTCCCCACAACATACAACAGAACAGAAAACCACTAACAAAACTTTAACACCAATAATATCTTTTATATACCCTTTTAAATCTAGTAAGGAAAGCTTCCCTATACTAACTAGAAAGACAGGATTACTTTAAAATAATATTAATAAAAGTGGAGTCACAGACTAAATGTCAGCATCACCTGAGAGCTCATTAATCTTTGGCAGTGGGGCCCAGCAATGTGTTTTAATAAGCTTTTCAGTAATTCTTATGCAAACTAAAAGTTGAGAAGCAGTAGTCCTAACTTGCACTAACAGATCCAAAGTAGCTAACTATCCAGGTCAATGGTCACTCTCGGATACAAGGTAACTATCACCAGCAGGCATGTATCTATGAGAAAAGAAATATTCTGACTAGCTATGATCCCCAGATAATATCCTCTGAAGATTTCTAATAGCCATTTCTTCAATCTGGGATACTATTATAGAGTTTACAAATTCAAGACAACATCACAAAAATAAATAAATGGGGTTTGTTTTTTTTTAGAAAAAAATATTATGGTGTTAGGAAATATTGAAATTATATGCAAAAATTTCTCAGAGGAATGAGTCCAAAATTTTATCTGATTGCCAAGGAATGTGAACCAAAATAAGTTATTAAAAAGCAATAACGATATCTTCTTTCTCCTCAAACAAACTATTTTGGTTTACTTATTTATTTGGTAAGAGAAGAAAAAACTTGTAAGGCTTTAATGATGTCTTCCATTTCTATCTATAACTTGTACCTTATTAAAATATTGGCTTTTTAAAATTTTTAGTTGTCTGAATACAGCTTTAAGTTCCCTATCTATAAAAAAGACATACTGCCTTTTTATTTGTATTTAATACACAAATTCTACACTTACAGTTTTTTGTATTATAGGAATGAAAAAGTGGATCTCTAGGCTAACAAAATAAAAAAAGTTACCCTCTTCCAATTAGATCTACATAATGTTAATAACAATACAGAAATAAATTTAAGAGGCAAAAAATATTGAGATTTTTTATTATAATACAGTAAATACATAATGTTAAAATCTAGATTTTAAAAACTCACCACTTGTTATATGACTACATAATTATCAAAACTCATTAAGCTAGCTAGTCTCTAAAAATAGGTGAATTTCATTGTGTCCATACAAACTGTACTTTGATAAGACTGGAGGGAAAAAAATTTCCTTTGACTAAATTTTCTTAATTCAGTATAAGTAATAACTTTATTCCCAAAGAAACATGAAAGGAACAATTTCTTAAACATCCAATAATATCGATGGTATGCCTACTATTTAAAATACTAGACTGTAGGTTAATGATACAATAGGAAAAAGGCAAATTGCCATAGAGTTCTAGGTAGCAGGTGAGGTTAGGGTGAGTCAAACAGCAGCTGGCACAGAATAAATGCCCAACAATATTTGTTAAACAAGTGAATACATATTCATAAATAATTACCATAGGATAAACATCAATAGTAATACATAACAAGTTTTGTGGTTTCCAGTAGTTGGAGTACAAGCCACCTACTAATTAGTTCTTTTCAGTTAAGAAAGTCCCTAACTGCCTTGCTCCACGCAAAGCAATGAGCAAGACAGAGAGGAATTTTCAAGAAAATAAGAGTTGAAGAAAATGAAAAAGTAGTTAGGAATTAGATATTGAAAGGTCTTATATTCTTCAAAGTCTGAACATTATCCTATTACTGTTAAGAAGGCAAAGGATTTTAGGCCAAAAAAAAATGACCTGACCAGATAGGCCTACTCTAACAACAGAAAGAAGGGTTGGAAAAAGGGAGGTGGATGGGGACTGTAGACAGGAAACCAGCTTTGATGCTATCACAATAATCCAACTGCACTTCTGTGACTATTAGTGCCAATAAATCTACATAAAATATATAATAAACTCAAGCGTATCTTATAAAAGTTCAATACTATGCCTTACTCACTGTATAGGAATGAATTGTTATATCAGCTTCCTTTTTCCTCGGAAAATTTAAAATCATCCTTAAAAGCCTAAGTGAAACATCATTTATAGAACACCTTTCCTTATTTCTTCTTTAAAGAAATTGTTCTTATCTACTTTGTGCTTTCATAGTTATTTGTTTATCACATTAAGCTAGGTAAATATATCTCTCCTACTAAATTGTGAAAAATAAAAGAAAACTTTAGCCACATTACCTAATACTGAAAACTTAGAAAAAATAATAGTTACAATGACTTGAATACCTCAGAAGTGCAAATCATGTTATAAAGCACTTTAAAGTACCTTTTCTTTAATAATCACAATAACTTTCTTTTCAAGAAAAGGAAACTGCGTGTCAGGTTAAGTAACCACTTAAAAATTACATGTTTAATGATGCTCTTCTTTGAAAGTCTTATTCCAAAAATGCTCCAACTGCATCAAGATTTTTGAATACCTTCCAGATTTTATTTAGAACCTTTTATAATTACAACAAATAATGACTATCACTTGTTGTTTGTAATGCAGTAGGTAACATGGTGAATACAAAGAGCCCCTTTTTCTTAAAGGAGATATATACACACAAATATAATAAAGGCAGAACAGATAAATGATACACAACTCAAAGTGAGGAATGATCCCTGTGAGTGGTGGTGGTGATCAGACCCTGCAAAGAAGGTAAACTGACAGACAGGACAGAGGCATTCCAGGGACCAAGAAAGAATAAACAAAAGCCACTGTCAAAAATGAGTACAGAAAGAAACTTTACTCTGGAGAAGAATAGTCAATTTATGGGGATGGGAGTCTTCATAGAATGGATTGGGGCACATATGAGAACAGAGGGAAAAAGACCAATTGAGAGAACAGAGGTGATATGAGATAGGGATTAAAAGTACTCATCTTCTGGAGAAAATGAAACTTCTGTATATAGAAAACTCAAGCTTATAACAAGAATCCAAATTGGGCAGAGGTGTTGGTGGGCCATTTGATGAGAGATACCAAAGGCAGTGAGTGAGGCAAAGGTAGCGAAAAGGGGACTTACCAAACCCTAAGAGTGAAAGTGGAAGCTTCCAGTTTTATATGAAGTTATCAATGAGTAATACCTTCATATTTGTGATGACAATAAAATGCAGGGTTGGGGCTCACTGGGAATTGGGAAAAGTGTATAGACAGAGTCAGGCTAACTGGAAACATTTTGATATAGAATGGATTTGGAGGTTCTATAGGACAGGTGGAAAGCCTATGAAAAATAGGAGAGAGAAGGGTGAAATGACTCTTGGTTTAAGAAAACACAAAATATTTTCCAGTTTGATCCCCTATAAATTAAGGGAAGAATTAAAGGCCCATTTTTGGTAGTCACGTATTTGTCACACAGTAAGAGATACTCCACACAGAAGTATACAGGGGGAAGGAATACCTGAGGCCTGATTTAGAGGAAGTGTAATACAGATGTAGAACACTGTAGTAGTTGAGAAGCAGAGTGGCAGAATGCAGAAGGTGGAATATCAGGGGCCATGATGCACAGTGGCAGATCAAGCAAAGTTCATGAGCTTAAAAAACTTGGGGCAGTGAATTATTTCCACCTGGTGTTCCACTGTCACACAAATGATGCCCTCCCTGGAAGAGTATTTGAGTGGTGGTCGTGTGAATTCTGCAGATTTTAATGTTCGGCACCTTTTTAGAGACCAGTGAGTCAACAGTAAAAATATCTATAAAATAATTAGAAATATAGAGCTGAATCTCAGGAAAATTAAGGAACAGTGGTTAAGTTAATAAGAAAGGAAATGTAAAGAGGTAAGAAGCTGAAGGAAGAAAAAGCAATGAAATAGAGGAGTGGCCAGAAAAGGAAGATAGTGGTAATAGTTTAACAGAAGCTGAGGAGAATAGTTTCAAAAATGAGTGACAACAATGTCAAAAACTCTGAAGTCATGGAGTAGTAAGAATTTTAAAAAGTGAATAAATAAATGTGGTAATAAGTACATGACAGATAAAAATGGGCAGGGTTAGTTGGGAGGTAGAGATAATGCTCAAATTTAAGGAGAAAGAAATAAACAAGCTAGTAATACTTTTGTTTGTTTATTTATTTGTTTTAAGTAAAACGGTAAGAGAAAGACAAGAAATAAGCAAAGTAGGCAGTAGGAACAAATCTCTCTCATCTTAAAAAAGAAAAAATACCTGAAAATGTTTGTAAGCAAAAAGTACCTGGCTGAAAGAAGAGATGAAGTAGCAAAATAACTGAAGAAGGTTGTGGAAGAACTAGAGGAGATAAGGGGCAGGGTTATCTCTGAAGCAGAACATCACTGATTTCTGAGATCAATGTCTGGATGAAGGTAGCAGGAAAAAAACCTGATGTTGAAAAGACTGATTAAAAGGATGACCTCCAACTGAGTAATTAGTAGGCCAGGTTAACAACTAACAGACTACAATAAAATCTTTAGCATCTGAAAAAGGTTTAAAAAGACATTATACGTAAAAATAAAGAAGTGTATAAAAAGATAGGACCCCATTAAAGTTAAAGATCATGAAGTCAGAGTTAGAGTTGATTGAATCAAGTGCCTTTGGTAGTCTAGGGTTGAGCATAAAGTTCAGAAGAGGAAGGCATTCAAGTTTCATCTTAGCCTTTGTGTCAGGTGAGCATGTCTAAAGGTGTAAAGGATTCTAGAACAAGAACAAAGCGGCAATCACAACAAATGACCCTGAGGGTGAAGTTGAAAATAAAGTTAGATGGCTGCTGGACTTTGGAAAAAGGAGTCAAAGCCCTTGAAAGTGATAGAGTAACAGGAATTCAAAAGAAATAAACAGTGTACATGATGAGATTAAAACGCTACATGGTAAGAAAGGGGGTACAATACATTAAAATTTGATGTGAAATGCTGGCGCTAAAGAAGACAAGGTATCACGAGGTCAGGCTAATCATCAAGGCGGGGAAGAACTGTCAGAGCGGTGCTGAAGCCATCAAGAAAGGTAGAAGAATCCTTGAAAAGAGTAGCTGATGATGACAAGAAAGTAACATAGAGGTCATGTTATGATCTATAAGAAAATCACTTTTATAAGTTAAACTTTAATTCTAATTTAAAAAAATGAAATTTCACTTAGAAATATCAACTAAACTGGTTTATATCTGAACAATTTTTTACTATTTTAAAAAAATATAAAATACACCCTGAAGGATGACCCCTACTATTGAGATACAAACGAAAGTAATATGGGCTATAGAGGCTTTCTCTGCATAAATACTAGGTATTCAAATAATCTAAGTGGAATGAATTAGTGAAAAAAATTCCAACAATGGCATCATGACAAGAATACTCTCACATTTCACTGACTGAATACAAGGACTGATGGCTTGAGAAAGAGGGAGAGGGAGAGGGAGAGAGAGGGAGAGAGAGAGAGAGAGAGAGAGATCTCAAAAGAAACTCAAGAGGAACAGGAAGAGGCGACCCGTCCGCTGTGGGTCCGAATTCGGCCTCCGTGCCGTAGGAGCTTTGCGATCAGCTCTTTGAGCCTTTCATTTCTTCATTTTGAATGCGTCCACGGGGAACATTACGACCATCCCAGGCAGAAAGGTGAGGGAGAGGGAGAGGGAGAGGGAGAGGGAGAGGGAGAGGAAGGAGGGAGGGAGGCATCTAATAAAGGTCCTAGCATCTTTGAAAATCTGGAGTCTCTCAAAGTGACTGCTTTGAAGAGAATAACACTCATGAGGTTATATGTATTTGTCTGGTAAATATATTTAAAACATTTATATTTTTTATCTTTGAAAATAATCATTTTTGAAAATCCTATAGGGAAAAAAATTCTCATAGAATATCTGTTTCCCTAATAAACCTATCTTAGTTTCATTATTCTAAATATTCTCACAATTTTAGTTATAGTAATTTTATGAGTTACTATGCTAGAAAATAGTACCAGGCATTATCCTAGAAGTATCCTATTACTAGACGTTTTTAGTTCCTTAAAGAGAAAAACTGGCTTCTAATAGTATAACTGTTTTCAAAAACCAAACTTGCTGAATCATAATTTAATTGCTAACTATAGATGTTTAACTCATCTTACCTCATCATATGATTTACATAAGCTTTGCTACAACTAGTGTTGTATCTGCAAGAACTGCAATGAACATATGTAGGAAAGTGGTTTGCAAAATCTTTTACTTCAGAACAACACTCAATGCACTTGTGAACTCCCCGACGATACCTTATGGAAATAAAAAGAAATTGTTAAAAATATATTTTAAAACAAAAATAACATGGGAAATATTAATTTTATATTAATTAAAGCCAAGTTGTTTAAATTAACATTTTAACACAGACTTATAATTTGAAAATCTGCTACGGAACAACAGCTAGAATAAGTGTAAACAATTTAACATCAGTTAATACTTGTCACTGGAATAAAAGGGATTAAATTAACCAATTCGACATCACAAGATATAAGTAAAACATATAATACCAGTATAATAGATGAATATTACAGAAAAAACATAGTAATTAAGTATTGTTCAACAGTTGTAAAAAATACCTTTTTATTATTTGCTTGGCCTTTATGCCACAAGTGATACCAAATGTATTAGAGTTATGTAACAGGGTATATTTATATTAAAGTTTTTACTTTTATATTTAAGATTAAATTAGTATTGTATATCAGGAATAAAAGATTACCTTAAGTTCCTCAATGCTGTATTGACTTTACTTTTTTTATTGCTACTAGCCAAAGTGTTTTGTTTTTTTTGCATATTAGAGACTTTTGATTTGAATTTAGATTTACTTCCATTAGGCTTACTTGCATTAGGTTTACTTGCATTGGATTTAGTTGTATTAGGTTTACTTGTGTTAGATTTTGTGGGATTTTTAGCAGTTATATTTTTTGTCCTTGGAGGTGAGAGCTGAAGGGTAGAAGTGTTTGCACTAATGGAAGGAGTAGTTGAAGATCCTGATTGAAGAGGTCCAACTGAAGCTCGAATAGTAACCTACAAAAATGAAGATAATATTTACTTTAGAAAATTAATCCTTGCATTAGTATTAAAATATCACTGTGTAACAAAAAGTTAAACATCAGGTAGTTTGAAAAGCGTTAAGTATAAACTATAATCAGATAAGTCTTTCATTTATTTTAAATGTTTAAATGAAATTAAATTTGATATTTATATACTTGTAATAGTACATTTTTTATTGATATCAGTTATATGTTAACAGTTATTAATGGATAATTAGGAGTTAATGCAAATTATATGAATATTAAAAGATCACATATCATATCTATTTTTATGCTCTAACTAAAAAAATTCACACACACAGAAGTCAAAATTTAAATCTCATAGCTAGAAAGGCCTGCATAACCCTTTACTCTGCATTACCCACAGTAAATGTGACTTCCTCTTTTCAGGGGCTCATTGGGCAGAATTTATGTTTACAAACGTTATGGGAGGGGTTATATCAAGTCAATATATTCATGGAGTTTACTAATATTTAGAATTTCCTGAAAGAGAACTAATATAAAGCTTATAACTTAGCATTCAGAAATTATATTAATTAATTGACAATGGAAAACATAATATCCATCATTTGACTATTCTCCATCTAGGTGTATCAGGAACAGCCTATGAGAAGTCCTATGTAAACATGTGCTTTGGTATCATACAAAAGCATTGGACTAGGAATCAATGACTTGAGGTTAAATCTCATACTACCCCTTCCTAGCCATGTGGCCTTGAATAATAACTTATCCTCTCTAAGCTTCTTTACCTATAGTATGGTACAATACCGGCCTTGCCTACCTCACCAGATGGCTGTATGAATTAAATAACAGAATCTATGAAAAAGCATACCAAAAGCCTAATTCTAAGTAAAGTGCTACAGAACATTTAGTATCATTATTATTAATATTATTATTGCTATTATCATGAATAAGGGAAAATATGAGAGAGGACTGCACCGCTTACATTAGTGTTGTGCATGTCTAGTCCCAGCAGGGAATGAATGGATTGCAGGGAAGGATGCTGGATAGTTTCTCTTGCTCTAGGTCTTCAGAGCATGGCTTTATATTGTTTTAGTTAATTCAAATAACAGACATACCCATATTCAAAGGTAAGTACCCAAAGCCAAATATAAATGTTTTGGGGATTATTTCACTTTGGATTATCCAAGCCTCTGTTTCCCTCCACTGGAGCAAATATTCAAGAGCTGACTGTATATAAAGAAGTCAAAAAAAAACAGAGGAATATAAGGCAAAAAGGGAAAAGTAAATTACAATCATCAGTATGCAGTCAGACATGTGTTTGCCCACTTAAAACATAATGCTATCCAGCAGCAGAACTTGCTTCTCTGAAAGTAAACTCAGTAATAACAACTTCAATAAACATCTAAGAACCTATGGCATTCAAGGTACTATACCAGATGCTGAGGACACAAAGATAAATAAAACATGATTCCTGATCTCAAAAGTTTAGTAGATAAAACTGATATACGAGCTGCCAACTGGAACAGCTCAAAAATAGGCTATATAATATTGACACAACCCACTGATCTAGGGAACAATTAATATGGTTGCACTTTTTACAAAGGAATACCACTCTAGCAGAGCACACACCACTGACCAAGAAACAATGGTTAGAGGGTTTTTTCCTAAATATAAGATGATAAAATCTAAAATTAGAGTTAATAAAAATCAGAAATAAACTTTAAAGTATTACATTCAATAGATAAAACCAGGCAGGTATTAATTTCTATTATCATACAAAATGTTAAAATACAACATATTTGAACTCACTTTTGTTCCAGGAGGCAATCCTTCCAGTTGTTTAGGTTTTATAAATGTTCGATGATGCTGAGTCTTGTGATCCATTTTCTCTTTGCATGTCAAAAATTGCAGTCTGCATTTTGTACAACGATGTATTCCTTTTTTCTGTTTAGGAAACAGAAAAAAGGAAAAATAACTCCTACAACCACAAATCCTGAGTCTTGAAACTGCTATGATTTAATTTTAATGACATTCAAATAATATTTAAAATAGTATTTTATATCTCACCATAAATATTATATCTCACCATAAATATTAGCAAAGTATTATTTCATTTTTTAAAACACTGCACTAGTATGAGTTTCCAAATGTCTGTCACTATACAGAAATTGAATATGAAAGTTCTAATGTAAAAGTTCCCTCAACAGTGCTGTGAAAGCTCCTTAAATTGTAATTCTAAAAGATTTAGACATAAGATACTGTGAAGAAAAGCTATACTACATTTTTATCCTAGAAAAAAGTAAATTTTTTATTTTTTGTTCTTCCCATTGGTTAACAAGTTGGCAAAAGAAATTCTAATATTTAACCAGACATTTCAAAGAAGGTCATAGAAATGGTTATATAAAGCAGTGCTAGCTAATAAAACTTTCTACAATGCTGAAAGTTTATTGAGCACCTGAAAGTGCCAAGTACAAATGAAGAACTGAATTTTTAATTTATTTAAATTTAATTAATTTAATTTAATTTTAAATACCCACATGTGGTTAGTGGCTACTACACTGAACAGCATGACTATGGAGGAATAAATTAGAACTGTTCCTAATTTACTTAGTGATTGAGACATCCTAACTGAGTCCCTCCTTAAACCCAGTCTTGTCATTATTCTATAGATAGGAAACAGGACCCAAGAAAAATCTTAATCATTTCCCCCATATCTAGTTAGTGGCATTTCCAGCTGATCCAGTGTTCTTTCTACTACATAATATCAACTACAATCTTTACCTATATGCTTATTACTTTAAAAATTATATATGATGTACATAAAATTATGCATGTATTCACTACATATAAAAAAACTTAAACAACATGTAAATACAGAAGAATGTTTTCTCTAAAGTTGCAATCTGCCAGATACATCACTATTTCCATTTAAATACAATCAATCATTTATAAAATTCATATAAGGTAAGATATTGGTAAGTATCTAACATAGTTACTGACACACAGCAGGTATTTCATAAGGTCCTTACAAAATTCAAAGCAATATACAAATATAATGTGTTATTATTACAATTCCAGTTGCATCTTAAGACTTTTAGAAGTGTGATAGATTGGGTTATGTCATAGGTACAAGCAACTTAAACAAATTCACTTACACTGGCTCCAGGAAGAAGATGAAAAAAGAAAACTTGGCCAAGAAGGAGATTATCAAGACAAAATGACAGAAAGCAAGTTCTCCAGGATCCAGTTCCCAGAAATCTCTTCTCTATCTATAATCCCTCCTTAGGTTACTTCACCCAGTTTCATGGCTTTAAATACCATTTATCCAACTGCTTAGTTGACATCATTACTTGATGTCTAATATATAACTCAAATCAACATGAAAAAAATTGAATTCTAGATTTCCTCCCTACATCCCTGCCCTCCCCCTACAATCTGTTCTTTCCTCAGTCTTCCCCATATGACAGTATATGAAAACTCATTCTTGCAGGTGCTTAAGACAAAAAATTTGATCACTCTCATATCCCATATCCAAGCCATTAATAAAACCTGTTGGCTTCACCTTCGAAAACTTTCACAATCTTCCCATTTCTCATTGCCTCCAACCACTGCTCCCATACTGGTCCAAGCCACTCACTTAGGCTATCATAATAACCTCCTATCTTCTCCTTATCATGTTCTTTCCTCCCTATGGTCTATTCTTCCCACAGCAGATCTTTCACATGTTTAAAATGCTCTGATGGCTTTCTTAGGTCCTGATTCTAATTTATAAGGTTCTACATGAACTGACCTATATTCTATTGCTAATACAACTTTATCTCCTACTGTTCTTCATAATAGTTTACCCTGCTTTAGCCACAACTAGTCTCTTTGCTGTTCTTCAAGTGCCCCTGGTATACACTCATTTCACTGCCTATCTAATGTTACTTCTCCCAGATTTCCACTGGCTTACTCCTTTATTTCCTTCAAAGAGACCCTTTTGACCACTTTATATACAAACAAAACAGCAATCATTCCTCCATTCCCAACACCTCCCCAATCCTTGGCACTCCCTATCCTCCACATTTCCTTCCACAGTACCTATCACCAGCTAGCATGAATATATATTCAAATATAAACACATATATTCATTATCTTCCTCCACTATAATAGAAATTCAAGAGGGTATAAACTTCGTTTTGTTACCTAAAACACCACCTAGCACATAGTAAGGCAACCAATAAATATTAGTTAAATAAATGGACTTTGAGGCAGAAAGTAAGAGACTGACAGAGAAAGTACATATGAGTAGCAGGTACAATTTAACTAATTCCAAATGTCTAGTGCCATTCCATTCAATGAATGTTGGTCCAGAGCCCTGAGACAGAATATATTAACCTACTATTCTCTCAGATACAAATCTTGAACATCTCTTGTGTATGTATGCATTTCAGTGTGCTAAGGGTGATAAACATACAGTACATTTTTAAATAATGTGATGTTCAACAAAAGAAATAGTGATCTATTTGAGAGTTAGAGAAAGAATTGTTTATACTGACCTTTTTGAAAAACATACTACATTGTTGGGGAGACGAGGATTAAAGGGTAATTCTGACTAAATGTAATTTTTGCCCTTAGACCTAATACCAATATGGAATCTGACTCTGTAGTAGAGCAATAAAAAGCTGGACTCTGAAATCAAATTTTACTTTTGTTTTTCATTAGGTAATGTGACACTGGGCAAGTTACTTTCACTAAACTTTTATTTCCTTATCTATAAGTTAGAAATAATAATACATAGGGTGCTTGTCAGGATTAAACAAAATAATACATGTAAAACACCTGCAGATGCCATAAGTGACTGTATATCTTAACTACTTATTGTTTTTATTAAAGATGTAATAAGCATACTTAACACATCCGAAGTCACTTTCACTGTCTTAAAAGTCGTACAAACTGGGTTGTTAGCTCTAAAAATAACCCAAGACTTAGTTATATAACCTCTTTTTAAAAAAGTTACAACAAGATCTTCAAAGACAAAAAAATGAACCAGAGTCAATAATTCTTATTGCCTAATATTGCACTAATAATGTGTCATCTCACTTACAAGTTTATAATCCTGCTCAGCTAAGGTTTTCCAGTCTTTTGTAAATAGTTGCCTGATGATCCTTCCTATTAATAAATTTTTCCCTCTTTACTGCTGGCTATGCACCTCTGTACTCCAAACAAACAAAAAAAGAAAACTGGCACCCATGGCAAGACATAAAACATAGGATATAAAAACTGACTATAAATCACATAGCCCAAATAGTGAGCCCACACATCTCTATCATGATTATTATTCTTCCCACATCTACATCTTACTTTGGAGCTTAGTAAACCACTTGGGAAAAATTATGTGAAAAGCTCCATAATGAAATAGAACTACAGTCTTATACCTCATACAGAGCACCAAGAATAATGTTTCCCAAACTGTGTTCCTCAGAAAATATTAATCGGTATTCTGCAAATAAAGGGTTTAATGGCCAAATAGGTTTGGGGAATAAGACATACAATGTATTATTTACAATGTATTAGCATTTTAAAAGCTCTGAGATGTTCTGTTTTAAAAACAGACAAACAAAACCATTTAATTTTATAAATCTAGACATTTATCAAATTTATTTATCAGTAACAATTTTGGGGGAAACATCTATTAACACCTGATGGAACGATGTTAAGGAAATCTAGAATAGAAAGATCTTGCCAGAACTTCTCAAGATAGGGAGCATCCCAGCCACAACATAGATGATTCCAAATTCATTTGGAAATTCTACTTTTATGATCTTTCCGAATTAAAAGTCACAAGTCATTTCATGATTATTTAATGAATGAAACTGCAAAGGGAGCAACCAATGCTGAGTAAATTAGTATGCCAATTTAATCAATAATAAATTAATGTAATGAGCTGATTAGTGCGGTGTCAAAACTTGATTACATGATCAGATTCAATAAATCCACTGATTTCTGGGTTTGGCAAAGGCACTGTTGCTCTTTCAAGCACTACAGAACAGAATCGGTGTTACATAAAAGTTTTCAGCTCAAAGTATGGTTTAATTGCTTCGAGAAAAGAACCAGTAAATAAATCATCAAAATTCAAGAGAAGGGTATAAGCACTAATACTAAGAAGTTATCTATAAAACAAGTTATGACCTATATAGTTCTTTGGTAGAGTTGATATACTCAGCAATAAGTGTCATTACTGTTTTCTTTATTACTGGCAGCTATAAAAGATAATTCCTGGTCAATGATGACATGTCTTCTCATAATAAGGGGACTAGAAAGTAGAAACAAAGTTGGAAGAGAAAGAAGACAATAAGATTATGATTCCCGAGTCTTTTATTTCTCAGTTCAAATTTATCTTTCCCCTATTTTAACTACCTTCAAAATCATTTCCATACCCACTCTTTGACCCTGAAACATCTGATCTTTTGGATATTCCACTTAACTTCCCTTTTCCCCTTTAATCCTAGGTTTCCTATTTCTAGCTATCTTTCAGATTTTTCATTTATGAAATAAAACATCACCAGAAAGGAAGCAAGGAAAAGAAGTGGAAGTTTCACAAGTCATTCAGCACAAACTGCAAATTAATTGTGTTATTTGGAACAACATTGCTTCCCTTACAGGAACAAAACTAACCAACATTCTAAGTCATATCCTATCTTTTCGCTAAAACAAGAACAAGTAAGAACCAATAATCTCACCTGATGCTTCATGTAATGATGCATATAGGGGGTTGCTATTTTAATAACTTTGAGGCAAAATGGACATAGCAAGTTCTTAGTGTTTTCATGGGATGTTCTAAAATGAGTTTCTACATCAGAAAATGATGATGACCTATAATTGCAAACCTACAAATAAAAAGAAGGTTTAGTTTGACTTGAAAATTTATAATATACAATTACAAAGTAACAATGATAAGTCATTGGTTTAGAAGAACATTATGTACTAATTCAGCTCTGATTCCTACACAACCAAGAATCCCATTAACACAAGCACCAAAAGATAATCTTTGAGACAAAAAACTTATCTTTCCAAGTTTAAGAATATTTCCCCAAATATAATTATATTTCCTTTTTTTTATTATATCTTTTTATCTATCACCACCTATCCTAACTTGAATTTTCAAGCTCTGACACCTCTTGTCCTATAAAGTTTTTTCTCTACATAAAACAGCATCCTCCTTTAGATTATAAATAGCTTCCAGGCTATTGCAATAATTTATTTTTATTTTGCTTTCCCATTCCTTCGAATTCTGGAAAAACATTAGCCCCAAAGCATTTGGTAGGGTTCTCTGTATCCTAAATCATTTCATATTTCCCTTGTATGCCTACCTTCTTCCCTATAGAGTAAGATAAGTTCATATGTTGTCTTTCTCCCATAGAGTTTTCTTTTGTCAAGTACAGAGATGGGCAAACAATCGCCTACAGGCCAATTTCAACTCTCTACTGATCCCACATAAAATGCATGAATTATGCCACAGGACTTTCTACTAATAAATTATTTATAAGAGAGATTTTAATTTAGTAATCAATTTTACCTAAATGGTTAAAAAGTAAAAAAATATATTTCATGACACATGAAAATCATATATAATTTAAATTTCAGTGTCCATAAATAAAGCTTTAGTAAAACATAGCCATGTGCATTCATTTACTTATTGCCTATGCCTGCCTTGTGCTACAATGACAGAGTTGATTAATTGCAACAGAGACTGTATGACCCTCAAAGCCTGAATATTTACTATCGGGGTCTTTACAGAAATAACTTGCTGACTTCTGGCCTAATAGGTTTAAATCTTATGATCAAAACAACAGAAAACAAACAAAACAAACAGTAAGTACACAATAAAACATGTGTATACCTGGCAAATATATGGCATTTCACCGGGTTTATGATTGTCCTTCATATGTTGCAAAAGAATATGCTCTGTTTCAAATGATAATTCACAGATTTTGCAAATGGCTAAAAGTGGGAGAAAAGGATATTACACCATTTCAAGATATATGTATATGCACACACAAATATTAAATCATACTGTATACCTGAAATTAATGTCAACTATACCTCAACTTTTTAAAAAAAGTATCCTCTTGAGGCAGACAATGTATATACATATATATAAATCATTTTATATATCTATATCAACAACAATAATAAGAGAACTGGTGACTGCAGCAGTAAACAGTTATATAATTAACTGTGTTCTAAGCACTTTTCTTTCATTAACTCACTTAATTCCCTTAACATGATGAAGCAGGTATTTTTACTGTCCCCATTATTTAAATCTTAAGTAATTTCCCTGAGATTACATAGCTGTTTTAAGAGCAGAGCTGGGTTTTGAACCCAAGCTGTGTAGCTCCAAAATCTATGATTTTAACTATCATTGTAGTTACTTTTCTTATACAAGTTTAAATAAAAGGCACCGATTTCATATTTGAAGACTATGATCAGACGCTTCTAATTTAGTCCCCCACATTAGTTACCTTAATAAATTATTTACAAGAGGAACTTTAATTTTCGTAATTAATTTTATTTAAAAGTTTATATCAGTTAAAATGTAACTTTTTCCATTTTTCCCTCAAATTCCAAAGTCTTATTTTTATTTTTCTAACAGGCTTCTTAAGGTTTTCTCAGAATATTGTCAAAATCAATAATATTCAATTCTTGAATGAAATTATAACTTACTAGAAAATTCATGGGGAGTGTGTGTACTTTCAATGTGACACTGCAGTTGAAATGGTGTGGGAAACTGACGGTAGCAGTGCTGGCAGGTGGTGTGGTTTTCCCAGCTCTCACTGCTCTGCTTCTCAAGTTCTAAATGGTGTTTCATGTGGTTCATAAACCTATAAATGATTGTCAACAGGTGCAAAAATTCAGATTTAAAAACAAAAATCTCACAAATATCTGAATCTTAAAATATAGATAGATATATTATTCAAAATAATATATTTTGACATATAAAATCTCAAAAGCCATAAAGTCCTCTAGAAAAGAGTGCACATTAAATATCACTTTCATTAAGTGGCTAAGTAAACATCTTCTCATCTTTGTTAAAAAAATTCATTAATGTAATTAATCTCAAACATCACTAACTTGCTCTAACAATAATTTCAGATTACTGAAATGTTTTCTTAAGATAAAACAGCAGGCTTATTCTCCATACATGAAATACTATTTATATTTTTAAATAAAATACTGAAAGGAAGGAAACCCTACCACCAAAGGCAGCTACAGAGTCATGAGAGTACTCTTTTAAGGCTATGAAGATATATACTAGACTCCAGCTGCTTAAAAGACAAATTACTGGTATTTTTACTTGTATCTTGGTTTCTAAATTCATGTAATAGCAATTTTAATGCCTACAATCACAAGAATCTTTTGTGTTATTTAATGATACTGGTTTACTGTTAGCACAGACTATTCATTTTAACTTGCAGACTGTGCCCTTTGTAGGCAATGTCCATTTTTCAGTTTTACATTCTGCCATTTCAGCTTCTCTACAATGCTTCTTATGAGCAGGAACTATGACCTTTAACAGCAGAGAATGCAATATAAATGGGAATACCTATTTAAAAGAGCTTACTGAAGCTTTTTGCTGAATTTGAAAGTAAAGTTATTCAATCAAAATAACAATTTTTAGACTTGGGCAACTATTAACAATTATTCACTTTGGGTCCCTTAAGGAAATAATCTTGAAACGAAGTGATAATGTCATCAATTTGGATAGCAATCATCATGAAGGTCATAACATTATCTCTTTTCACACCTACAGAACACAACTTCTGTTTAAAACAGGTATGGCATGCCTTGAAATACCTTTCAGTCCTCCTTTAGTTTTAACTTCAGCTCTACAAACACCTATAAAAAATCTAAGTCTTGGCTAAATATTTACATAGAGAGAAAAAGTTATGAGCCATTAAACTTTCAGCTCACAACTTTAAGCAATTTAAGTTTATCTATATAAAATAATCTCTTAACTAGCAAGCTTTCTCTGTTATTATATGAGCCCCCATCAGGAGCTCACACTACTTAAACCAATGGATGAAAATGAGGGAAACAAAACCAATCCTCTTGCAAGGATGTACACAGAATAAAATAAACCTAAGTGTCTTTTTGGTGACACTCAATGTAGGGGAAAAAAAAAGACCATGTTACAATATGCTGACAGGGCAGAGAGTACAAACCTAGATCTATCAGTTTCTCACCATTCTCTACAAACATTAATTTGCCTTTCCAGTTTCTACTGTTAAGGTAAAATATTATTTAACATATATAACTTTGTTGATTATGAAGTGTTCCATTAATGTTACATTTACTAAACAATCAGAATTTCAAAAAATGATCAATTCCTGGATGTCATCAAATGCTATTGTTTGAAATGTCTATATATTCTGATACTCTAAAATTATTTAACTAGTCTTCTAAAACAATAACAAAAAAAGAAAATTTTTCATATGCTTAATATCAAATAGGCTAATCTTAAAGGAAAAGTTAAAAAACTGTTGCTGAAATAACTTCTAATGTCATATACACAATATTTAGGTATAACAAGGAACTAAGTGAACCATATTTCTATGTAATTTATCATATATGCTAACATATTTTTTTCTTATTCATTTTACTATTAAAATGATAAGAATATGGAAATAGGTGATAGAGTTCAACTGTAATATTGTTTCAGTGTTATATCACAAAGTACAATATCCCTTGTTAAAGTTTGATAAAAGGAAGTAAATGTGAAAACTCACATAAAATATGTGAAAGAATATTTAAAACTATAAAACACTACCATAAAAAAAAGCATTAATAAATGCTATAGAAGTACATCGAAGTGTATTTCAGGGGTTTTCTATAAGCTTCATTTTGAACCCAAGAAGTCACAGGAAAACAAAATAAATTCTGGGTCCAGAAGTAACCTATTAATGTCTGAGAATGCTAATTATAAATAATTATCAAGGGTAAACATGAAAAGACATGCATATGTTTGTGCGTACACATACCGACACATACACACCCCCCCTCAACTAAGGGAAGTAAACTGATGTTGCAACTTACTTTGAAATGCACACACACAAAAAAATAGGTTGAAGGAAGGATAAATAGATATATGATAAAGCCAGTACAGTAAAATGTTAAATCAAAGTGATAAGTAAACAGGTGTTCACTGGTAAATTTTTAAAATTCTGCTGAATGTTTAAAAAACTTTTATAATAAAATCGTGGAAAAACAACTTTATCTAATATAAATATAAAGCTATATAACCAATGGAAAACATCACTTCTTGTCACTTTGTTCTTGCTACTAACTCATTTATAAGAAGACAGCTACTAGTTTACCATGTAACTCAAAGATTATAAGGTATCAGCTCCTAAAATTTAAAGCATACATGTATAAATTCTTCAAAATTCCACTGGAAATTAAATCTCTAATTTTAAAGAGGTTAAATTTCAAAATAAAGCAGACATGCTTCCTAAAACTGGTACTTCTCTAAAGATCACTTTTCCTGCAAGGTAAATGTTCTAAAAATTATAAAGATCAATAGAAAGATCTGAGCATAAGATTAGTTTGGAGGAGGTCAAACTGGACAAAACATAAAGAAGTGGTTCTTCCTGTGATGTAAAAAAAAATCCAATTCAAAAGCAACTAAAAAAAAAATCTCACATAAATTACTACATCACTGATAATATAGGAAAAGGAGTTAATTTTGCTTTATGTGAAATAATGTTCATTCTTTCTTATCTTAAAGAGATATAACAAGTGGATCTCACAGTCAACTCCAAAATACAGGAAAGGACAAAAGCTTTTCAATAAGAGAAGCTGCCTTTGTTCTTAGTAGAAAGTGTTAAAATCTAGAATGGCACAGAAAAATGCAAGATAAAGACACAACATTTATAACTGCAGCATTCCAATTCTCAAATAGAAATAAGAATAAGTATTTACATACCTAATATTATTTTTAAGAATTTTCAAGCAACTGAAGCATTTAAAGGTTGTGTGAGTCTTCTGTTCTTCCTGGACATCTCCTTCATGTTTTCCATAATAAAAGTCATTAACTAACATGATCAATTTTCCTTTCTCTGAATCAATAGTCTGATTTTTATTTGCTGTACTTAAAACTTCTGTTTTAGTCAGTCCCAAAAAGTTATTTATCATGTCTGGACAACAGTACTGAAAGAGAAAAAAAATAGAAGTCTTATTTATCCTTCGAAAAAACAGATACCAAAAAATGATTCTGTGTTTATATCTAAGGCCATATATACTATGCTTGGCAATATATCTGGAAAAATATTCACCAAAAGTTTGTGATGCATATACATAGTCTAAAAAATGCAAACAATAAACATCTATTATCTTAATAAACAAACAAAAAAAAGTTAAAAGAAAAAAACCTTAAAACCAGGACTCGGCTATTGGTCTAATAGTTTTTTCCTTGCAATTTACCTTTTCAGATGTAAATTTTTAATAATAATTTAAATACTTAAATTAACCAAATTAAATATCATCATTTCATATCTGTGTCAGGATAAAGCATAGAAAGGAAATATAATTTTATGTGCTGTAATGTATATGTTTATCAAGTGACACTGAATTTCATAATATCTGGTTGGAAATGGACATTGAGCACAGCTAACCTGTCATTCCCCAGACTCAAGATGCTAAAAAAGGTATGGCGGAAAAAAAAGAAAGAAGTATCAGTTATTTCCTAAAAACTTTAACACTTACATCTTGACCTCCAGAATGCTTGAATATCTGAAGAGAAAATTTAGTTCCTCATGAGTAAATCTAGATGTTACTTAAACTGGTTTTAATGTGGAGTATTTTCATACATGAGCTTTTTTCCCCCAATAAGAATTAACTAATTCCTTTATTTACATAATTTTCAGTTGTAGAATCTCTCTAGGGCAGTTTTTCTCAGAGGTCAATATAAGGAAAACTCGAATTAGAAAAACCAGAAGTGCTTGTCAAAATGCCAATTCTTAAGCACACTTCAGACCAATAAACCACAATGTCTAGAGATGGGCCTCAGAAATCTACAGAAATCTACAGGTAATTCTTTTACAGCATAAACCAACTGACTTAAACTCTTCCTAAATGTGTTATTTAGTAAATTATTAGTAACATAAGAAAATTTGAAAATCTAAACACAATTTTATTCCATTTCTAAAATAACAACATCCACTTCCTGTCCTGGCACACTGAAATGTTAAACTATTAACATTTCTTTCAGTTGCACTTATTTTGTTCACTTGTCAATTTTGAAACCTATAAAGGAAAAAAACACCAAAAAATACCCCTCGCAAAATCTAAAATAGGGGTGGGGGATGAGGGGGAGGAGAATACTGAATAAATTAGTTCTCTAAGACAGTATGATCCTCTGTAATCTATCACTCAGAATAAATACAGTTAAAATAAAACCACAACAAAAGAAAATGAGAAAAATTTTTCTATGTATGTTTCCAGATTCTTCTTGAAACATAAAAAATATATAAGAGCTCAAACTCAAGAAAGTCAGACTATTTCCAAGAACTTTTACCAGGCTAAGCTCCTATAAAAAAAATGATGTTTTTGACATTAAAGACAAATGGAGAAAAAGGTGGCTCAGAGTAAATCCACTAGCACTATTAGAAAAACTATTCAAAATATATGTCTTACAACAAATGATGTTATCAGTAGAATCAGTTTAACAGACAAACTCCTCTCTTTTTACTATAGTTTTACTATAGATATGATCTCAATGGGAAAACTTATAATACACAAACATGATATAATGCAGAATAGTTTCCCTAATTAGAAATGTGGATCATCTCATATACTCAAACATTAAATCTGGCTTTCAAACTATAGAAGTTATTCTGAGTAATATTTGAGACTTGAATCTTTTCTGCAAATCTACAAAATAACCTATGTAATCTATAGTGGAGTGTGCAACGAAGTTTATATTCCTTAAAAACGTCTAATTTGGTACATCTATTGAAGTTAAAGTTACCTAAAATACCAATAACAGATAGTCAACTGCCTGTTGTTCTTCCATTTCATTTTACAGAAAAAGAATCAATTTTTAAAAATAAACATTCATTCATAGTATTCTACAAAATGGCTAAATGATAAACCACTAACAATCGAGAATGGATAATAAGGTGCACTGAATTAGATTGGGGGTTTAATAACTGAGAGGACAGCAAAGTATCCTAAAGAAAATATCTAAAAGACAAGAAAGCAACTTAAGAAATGAAAACTAGGAGGTGGTTCCATAGAGTAGCGGTTAGCATGTCTGCTTTACACACAGAAGGTCCTGGGTTCGTGCCCCAGTGAAGGCATGGTCCATGGTCTACTGCCATGCCACCCTGAACAAGCCCAACGTCTTATCTCGGAAGCTAAGCAGGCTCAGGCCTGGTTAGTACTGGGATGGGAGACCACCTAGGAAGACCAGGTGCTAGAGGCATAAATAATAATAAATAATAAAAAAAAGAAGAAAAATGAGAACGAGGCTCAGATTTAAGATTTTATAGGAGGACAGGGTAAGTTATTGATGGCATGGCTGAGCTATGGTCCAAGATCAACTGGTCATTTTTCATTCAGCCCTACTATCCTCTTGGATCTAGCTCTTCACTATAACCCCCAGGATATCCCTTATTTCCTGGGTTGGCCATTCTGCAATATTAAATACCATATACTGTAATTTGATAAAGAGGAGATACTATCTAAACACCATTTTTACCTTCATTCCTCCCAGCAGACAGAACATGTTCTGCTGCTTTTTAAGTATCTAAAAATTTAGGTAGGATTTTCAGAGCAAAGAAGGTGGGTGCCATTTTTAAACAGTAAAATAAAACTTCCCATATGATTGTCCTACATTAAGTCAACGTTTTCCCCTTCTCTTGAGATTCACTCAAAAGCCAACAACCAAATTCTAAAGATTTTGTTTTCATTGAAACTATGAGCCAGATAAAATCCAAAGACTCCACAACATATGACAGCGCTATTCAAAGCAGCCACAATCATAAAGAAGACAAGGAGTTGGAAGTAGATAGAGAAGCCAAAAGGACCCAATGGTAACAGATATTAGAAAGTATCAGCAAAAATATACATTCCAAAAGTGAAAGATACATACTGAACTGAAGTACTAAGCTATATCCTTTGTTTGCAAAAACAGGTACAAAAGCTGGGGCAAGGATAGCAGAAGTCCTTCATACCTTATTTGGTACAAAGAAACAGAAAAGGTAATGCTACGTATAAAATCAGAAACTCAGGTCACACTTGGAGGAAGCCGTGTGTCCAGCAAAGAGTAAGCTAGTAAACTGTGGGATTATCCTGGTGACCTATGTTTCCCAAAAGGTGCCTTGTACAAAAAAGCTAGCCCTCAAAATCCAACATGTTCGATGTGATAAGAACTTATATCTAAAGAAAAATACTTTAAGCTAAAAAGGGGGAAAATATAAAATTCTGACAAAAACCATGGAGCAGATCCATGCAGAAAGTAAAAGGCCAAAATTGTTGCCACAATTTTTAAAAAACCTAATGAAGCAATTGTGTCTATCTGAAAGATTACAAAGCAAGAAGAGATGGTAAAACAAAAAGATGACGTAAAAGAGTGACAAAATTGAGGGAAAAAGTTGAGGGGAAAAAATCAAATCAGAGAGATAATTACAGATTAGAATGGAATACAGTGGTGAACAGACATTGGAAAATAATCAAAAATAAAATAAATAAAATAAAATACACAGAGCCTAGTAATGAGAAAAGCAAGCAAATTTTTTAAAAAGTTAAAAGAATTATAACGATAATAACAGATATGACAAAGGAAATCAAACAAATGCATACTGGATAACTCCCCCTGTCCCCCACCCCCAAAGTAAAGCAAAATAACTTCATGGAATAAATATTTAAAAATACAAATCAAGAACATGCTGTATGTCAGAGAAGACTGATAAAATTTTCACACCAAGCCATGTCACTGTATTTTTTAATAAAAAATCCTGTGGATTGTCAGGCAAAGACTTCAAATCACTTATAAATGGCAAAGTAATTCAGGCTTATCCTAAATTTCTCAATAGCAACATTCAAAACTGTAAAATAGAAGCACCACCAAAATTCTCAGATTGGGATCCAACCTACTTTAATATCTGAACAAACTGTTTTTCAAGAATGGATTACAGTCAAATTGTTCTGAATATGAAAAGACTCAAAGAATGCTGTTCTAGGCTCTTCTTGGGGAAATTACTAGAGGATGAACTTCAGCCAAACAAGAGATAACCAAAGAAACCATTACAAAAAGACTGGTGATGAATACTGAATATATTTACTGTGATAAAGGATTAAGATAAATGTGGAAATAAGGTTAAAAAATCGAATGTGAATGATATATGCCCTGACAATGGAAAAATGATACATCCGACAAATAAAAACTGGGAAAGGGTTAAAAGGACAATGAATATGAGGTAAGAAAGTTCAGAGTGCCACAAATATGTTGGCAGCACATCAAGAAATATCATTTAGAGCTAACAAATAAAGTAGTATAGGTATGAGCATTGTTAACAGTACAAAGGTAACACTCAGAAAAATAATATTGAGTAAAATCAAGTAGAAGAGGAGAAGGTAAGGATGAATGAGTTAAAAATAGAAAATTTAATGCTACTTTAAACAATTTTAATAGTAGAGAATGGCCAAAGGAATAGACTACTGGAATTACATTAACATTAAAATTATGATAAACGAGAGAACAAAAATATGACTTCCCTAAAAATCCAAACTATATAACATATAAAGCAACCACATAGTAAAAGATTTTTAAAAATAGGACAACAAAGAACTGTGACAGAACCAAGACCATATAAATCAATCAAATCAATGAATATAAATAAATTTAACTCAACTACTAAAACCAGAGTTTTTCATACAGGTTCACAAAGGAAAATACAAATTTGCTGAAAGCAAGAGGGATATTTAAAACAAGTGATTCAGAAGGGTTAAAAATAAAAGGACAAACAAAGAATATATCAGGCAAATGGAAACCATAAGAAAACAAGGGTTGTGAATCTAAAAGGCATTAAATATTAAGACAAAATAGGACATTTTATAAAAATGCTAAAGGATACATTCAAATAAAGTTATAAGAGATTCATCCATAACGCAAATAGAAAACTAAAAACATTTGTATTTATCTGTATATGCAGAAAGAAAATTGGGGAGAATACAAAATAAACTAATGATTTTCTTTGAGAGTCATACTGGTAAACAAGAGCATTAGAGACAGGAGTAAGATTTTTCACTTGTATGTCTTTGTAAACTGTTTTATTTTAAATCATATGACTTTATTATATACTCAAATAATTAAAGATAACCAAAGAATTTAGCCCTTTCTTTTTTTCTCTCCATCCAAAATGTATAACATAAAAAACATCAAAACAGTACATAGATAGGAAAATTGAAAGTACTTGTACAGGTTGATTCTCACCTAAGAACAAAGCACAAAGTACAGTTATAAGGGACCACACTTTGGGAACTGGAAGTAATGACAGACCCAATACAGTTTTGTACCTTAACAAAATGTATTTAAAATTCTAAAATAGTTCCTTTTTTTTCTACTTTTTTTGGTAAAACGTTAAATTTTAATAAAAATTTGTCATTGTCTGAAATAGTAAGAACTCTTCCTTAGTTATTTCTTTGCCATTGCACCCTTCTTCTTCCTTCTTTTCTTCATATAATCCACACTACCTTTTTTCTTCTTTTTCCCCCACTTCCTACCATTTATACGGGGCATGGAAGGAGAATACAGGTTGTCTATACAGACACAGCAGAATACTGTAATATCTACTAAAATATTCTAAGTGAAGTGTTACCTAAACCCCATATTTCATTCGTGCTTTGAAAATTTCTTAAAATATAATTTCAATAGCTTCCTATACCAATAAAAAGCTCAAATTATTTTATAACAATTACACAAACTACATTCTGGATTGAGTTAAAACAATTTTTTCATATAAAGTACTCCACCATTTGGAGTGTCTGAGTGTTGAAAATTAAATATAAAACTCAGATTTTCATTTTCTATTGTGACATGTACATGTTAGAATGGACACAAAAATAAGGTAACTGAAGAAATTGTTAACTTATATGAAATACTAAACACATAATAAAATGCCTGTTTCCTAAGAAGTTTGAAGTATGGCACAATCTAGTAAATAAAATATTCTAATAAATTATTTGCATTTAAAATTAGAAGCATATATTATAATATATAAAAACTTCATTTTTTAAATTTGATGATTCAGAAGAAATTTAAAAATTTTATTTGAAGATAAAACATTTTGAATATTAATTTTAACCTGTTATTTGGAAATAATACGGGAAGCATTTGCGATCTTGCTCCCTGGCATATAACTTCAGTTTGGTGCAAATAAACTCATAAAAACTCCAGGAAAAAAAAAAGAAAAGAAAAAGAAAAGAAATATCAATATGAGATTTCTTATCTAAATATCTGAACACTGAACAAACCATTATTTACTATAAATCAATCAATAATTTCAGGGATTGGCAAACCTTTTTAAAATTAAATTTTGAAAGTTTTACCTTCATGTGATTTTTCAAAGGATCCAAAAGATTGAAATGAATATTGCACTTTGGACAAGCTCTTGGAAAAGGTGTTCCATTTTTAGATTGATTTGATGAGGAAGTTATACCTAAAATAAATTCAAAACATATTCAAAATTCATCACTTTTTAACCTTAAATAACTAATAATAGTTTGTAAATTTACTATAATTTCTAAAATTTATGTATAAAAACATAATTTCTTTTTCATATGCTACATTTCATATTTACCTTTTGATGACATTGCCTGGGGAGATGTCACTGAAAGAGATTTAACTGAAGGAAATACAGCTGAGGAATTTGCTCCAGAAACACCTTCACTGGGCTTAGGTTTTTTTGGATTAATACTGTTTACTTCAGAAGAAGGACGTTTTGATAAAAACGAACTTTCATTCACACCTACAATAATGTAAATAGTGAGAAAAGTATTTATTTTTGAACACTAAAATATCGCTTACAACTAAATAAAATACTTTGGAGCTAAATTAAAGGTAACATAATTGAACTATATCATAAAAATGACAACAAATAATGATAAAAATTGATGTTAAGTTAGGAAATGTAGAAAAACTGTATGAACATGTATTATGAACTATATATATTCAAATTTTTCATAAAATAATCTTTCTATGCAAGAAACTATTAAATGTTTACAAATAAATATGTAAACAGCTACTATGAAAGAAACTAGACCAAAATATCCCAAGCAAAAAAAATAATTAAAGTATAGAGAATACACCAAACTAAGTTCCTACAAATGAATTACCTTTAGAAGAGTAAGTGCATTAGAGTTTGTTATAAAAAAAAGTATTCTAAAAATTTAGAGAAACCCTTTAGGAGCTTTTTAACAACTTAAAATGTTTAATGGAAAGTTAGTTCTTTTTCTTACCTAACAAAGAGGTGGTCTACTCATGGATTTAGGTTATATTATCCATTTATTCCTATGTGCAAATTTAAAACAACTACTCTTGAATAATACCTCCTTCATCGATATGAAAGGGCTCATAATAGAAGAAACTGGTACAACAGTTTTCAAATTATTTTCCCAGATATTCATGGGCTCCTTTTACAGAATATATTGGGCATGTCTGACATAGAAACTGTCCTTTCACAGATTATTTATTAGACTGTTGCATAAAATTTTGTTTGTAAAGGGATTTCATTCCTAAAAAGAGTTTTTAGTCTGAAAACCATCACCTTAAAGCAAAAGGATTTTAGTCTTATTCAGAGCATTTGCAAGACAAATGGGGATATTTAGGATATAATCAGGCCAGGCAAAAATCCTTTTTGAAAATAACATGCAACTGTTATTTGGTAATAAGAATTCTAAACCTGCACATTATGTTTTAATATTCCTATACATTAAAAGTAGAATTGATAAAGTAAACATATTAATAATATTCCAGGCTTTTAAGTCAGACAGGATTAAGTTGAAATCCAGGCTCTATCACTAACTACCTATGTATTCTTGGCTTACTTAACTTCTCTAAGCCTCAGTTTCTTGTTTTGTAAAACAAGAGTTATTACACCTGGTTTTACAGACCTCTTTTAAGATCAAGATAGTGTATTTAAAGTATGCAACACAACATCTGAAACACAGAAAGCATTCAATAATAAATGACAGCTATTATCACCACTAAAAAATATTTTATATCTTAATTTACTTTAGAGGAAAATAAATTATTCTAATAGATTAACCTGTCAGCTTTTTAATAAGGGGAAACATGCCAGAAAAATAAGTGCATTTCACCAGTTGGCTCCTCTGTTTCGTCCTTTGAGATAACATAAAAACAATTTTTTTCTCCATCTTCAAAGTACATGATTACAATGGCTATACTATGGGTACTTGGGAAAGATATTGCGTAATCACAGTAGCATTCTTGTGAGATTCTTGGATTACTTGAAAAACCAATGAGCGCTGGTATTTTGGATTAAGCATCTTATTATATAACATAACAGGCTGGACAGTAGAACTACCTGCCTTACTGTAAGAACTACCTGCCTTACCGTAAGAACTTTTTAAACACAAGAAATAAAATTACTCTGCATTTAAGAGTTTTAAATTCTGACTATTTATCTTTGTTGTGTTTGGCTTGTTTTGTTCAACACTTAACAGCTCTATCTCTGCCAATAAAAATCCTATTCTTACTCAACATCAAGCTCAAATCTAATCTCTAAACATCTATGATGACTTGACAGTAGTCAATTAAGCATGCTACTGAACATATAGCACATATTATCATTCAAGTCCTTTAAACTCATAATGCATTTTCACATTTTATCTTATATGGTCCTCGAAATGCCCTGACTAAAGTAGAGCAAGAATTAAAATTTTATCTCCAAATGGCTGATTCCAGGTCTGAAGAATAAATGTATTCAATAAGAAAAAAAAAAAATCTCCATTTTAATAATATGAGAAAACTGAAATGTAAAGACTTGCTAAAGACTACAAAACTCTTAAGAGTAACAGTTAAAATTTGCATCTTCTAAATCATCCTACTTACCGCACAGGCTGAAGTCTCTCTCTCTCTGCAGTAGAAAACTTAAGAGACAGAGTAGGAGTCACTGCCCTTACTCCAAGAAGTTTCAAGAATTCTGATTTTTTCTATGAATAAAGTCCATGTGTTTTGTAAAACCAGACTTGTGACAACTATATTTTCTCCTTGTTTCTTTTGGGTCTTACCTATTTTAAAAACTAGATTTTTACAAATGTATAAGTGACACCAAAATAAGTGAATTTCAACTAAATATTATTGAAATAAACATTTTAGGCACTGATATTACTATTAAAAAACTGGAGGTGAGTTTGGTAAATTCTCCACACTGATTTGTTAGAAAATAATCTAAAAATTCTCAAAAGTCTTGTGTATCTCTATTGAGTCAAATATTTGTAATATATCAAAATTGCTAATATACAAAGCATAACTGCCTTGATTACCAGAAATCCTCAATTAGATAAAATTCTTTCACAGCACACTAATTTAATTTAGGTTAATGAAGAATTGTTATAATATACAAAGAACTTAAACTCTTCTTCAATAGGGAAATTTCATTACTCCTTCAATAAGCATTTTCTGAGTATTGACACTAAGTATATTGCAGCTATTTTAGAATAGCACTCTAATCATATTTAACTATCATATGTAACTCATATGAAATAGAAACACACTAACCTAATTAAGAAACCAACTACGATCATACTTTTTCACGCTAGTCGACACAGAAACTAATTAATATTTCTTTTATCAGAGCATTTGGGGTATCAGAAGACTTTTGCTAACTTACAGAAATTATTTTCCAATTTTTCAGCCCATATGTACTGCCAAGTGAGAATAATCTCAAAGTTAGGCAGCCTACTTAATCAACAGGAAGAAATAAAATATTATATTATTAATAAGATTTTATTTAAAATTACCCAAGAAAGGCATTTAAGATTAGCGCCGCTCCATCTTATAATATATGAAAACAACATGAAGGTATGGACTTCAAAACATCCATATGTACATTCATCAATTAATTTTTCTAATTTTTTGAAAAAGTAGTAAAACCAACCTGCTATAGAAAGTGTTGGCCCCCCTTGGTAATGTGATAATCCTGTATCCTGGGTCAAGTCAAACAGTAACTCTGAAGAATTGCTAGATGCAACTCGTGATGAGTTCATTATATAACCCTGTTAAAATATTCCAAAGGAAGAATATTACATTTATTCAAGTTATAATTATTTTGTTTTATAAACTTTTATAAAATTTAAGTGTATAAAATAAGGATAACCTTTGATGACTCAATTACTAATTTTATAAAACACAAGGGTAATTATTACTATGTGCCAAGTGATCATCTATTAGATCTGAAAGTAAATTTAAGAATTGACTTATTCCAGACTAGCTAATTAAAAAGAGGGCCAAGGGCTAGTCTGATTTTTTTTCAAGGCAAAAGACACATTAAAACCATTTTAAATCAACAAGATTGATATACTTTAGAGGGCTACTAAAAATTCAGTATTCCCATCAGAGCAAATAATAGAACTAAGCAAAATTGTGGGTAAATGCAAGCAAAAAAAAAAAAAAAGGAAAACATACTGATATTACTACAAATTTAAAAGCTTCTATATCTCTGTAAAGACAAAATATCAAGGCACAAACTGAGAATCAATTTGCAGTATTATGCATCAGGGTTAGGGATGAATATATCACATCGTATGACTTTCAGAATCATCTTTACTGGAAAAATTTATAAGCCAAGAGTCTGGGAGTCAAGAATGAGCCCCCCACTATTTCCATTATCCCAGAAAGCCATGCTGAGCCAGGCAATCTCCCACCTCATAGGGCAAATATGAAAGCTGCTTGGGTGAACAAATAAGAAAGCCAGGCAGACAGGGGTTAGATTGGAAGCTGTTATAGGAATGATCTAGGCCAGCTGGAGGCCTTAGGGGTCAAGGGAAGTTTCAGCCCTTTCATAGGGTCGTCCCAGCTAGCAGAAAGATTGCAAGAAGAGACAAGCATGAGATGAATCAAAACGTGGTCAAGTATAAGGTAGTATAATTTATGTTAGCATACACATATGTTTAGTATAAGTATGAAAAGTATAGGCAATATAATTTAGGGATATATACTCATACTATCAAATATACTGACACGCACATAAAATACATTCCAATGCTATTTATAAAAGACCATCAATGTGGAGAGCAAGCTCTCAGTGACTTCTGGATCATTCTATTTATCTTAATGTATAAAAGCAAAAGTTTTAAGATTAATCGTGTTTACCAATAAAAAGGAGAAAAAGTCACTTAAGAGAAAAATGGGCAAAGGACATAAAGTGAGACACTTCAAAAGCAAAATACATGTTTAATACGTACAGAAAACTTTCCAACTTGCTAAAGAAATGCAAATAAAGTCAATTTTTATACTACTGAATTGGCATTGTTTTAAAGATAATATCTGAAACAAAGTAACTGGCCACTCCTCTTAATAGAATCAAGGTCATGAAGACAAAGAATGAGTAACTAGAAAAACTTAAGACTATGAAGATGTAACTAACTGCAAGGTGTGATCCTGAATAAGATGCTGGGAATGAAAAATTACATTAATAGAAAAACTGGTAAAATTCAAATAAGGTCTGCAGTTTATTTAATGTTAAGTATCTGATTTTCATAAGATCTTAGCATTAGGGGAAACTGGGTTGGGGTATATGGAAGGCTCTTTATTTTTCCTGTAAGTCTAAAATTACTTTTTAAAAGTTAACATTTAAGAATTAAAAAGTAATGATAACATTCACTATTGGCAAAGTAAAGGTTATCCTGTGGTACAACTTTCCTGCATGGAAATTTTGGCAGTAGATATCAAAAGCTTTATATCCTTTGGTTCAACTATTTCACTTTAAAAGTTTATGGTTAGAAAATGAAAATATATAAAGGGGAATTATTTTTAATAGCAAAAATAATTAAAATCTCTATGGCCAACAATGGAAGAATGGTTAAATAAATGATAGACTATCATGCAACCACTAATGTCATTTTTTTAGAATAATCCAAATACATATTCCCAGTAGAATATGCAGTGAAAAAAGAGGAATACATATCTGTAAATAGAGTGTCCAGATTTGATACTCTATACTGTCTGCAAAGAAAAAAAATCAAAATATGTACTCTTCTCTTTCTAAACTTTTCTCCCAAAATGCATATTATTTTAAAATAGAAACAAAAGATTTTGTTTTGTGCTTATAAACTGAGGTGTGTTTAAAAAAGGGATAATTAACTTTTAAGAATTTTGGTTTGCTACTATTCTATTGACATGGGTTTGTTAAGAAATTATGAAAACAAATAGATGAAGCGAGTCAAAGGTACAGAATTCCACTTATAAATAAGTCATGGTGATGTAATGTACAGCTTGATGACTATAGTTAACAGTACTGTATTGCATATTTGTATTGCTAAGAGAAACCTTAAAATTTCTCATTGAAAGAAAAAAACTACATATAGTGACAAATACTAACTATACTTATTGTGGTGATCATTTTGCTATATATACAAATTTCAAATCACTATATTGTATACCTGAAACTCATATAATATTGTATGTCAATTATGTTTCAATAAAAAATCAATTAGAGAGATGAGCCTTCCTTACCACTCCCTATACAAATTGCAGATTTATGACTAAATGATTGCTTTTGTTTAAAAAAAGAAAAAAAAAGTAGTAGTTATGGAAACAGGTTTTGAAGTAACCCAAATCACTCCTAGTATTTGAGGCTACCAGAAAGATATCTGCATTTGAGCCTTAACGTGTAGTATTAAAAATCAGTAATACCATATGACTTAATTGTAACCAAGCACAATCCTACTTCAAGATAAATATTTTCTCTAAATATATGCACTTCAAAAAATGAAAAATATTCACTTGCATTTGCCAAAATAATACTTTAACAGAAATATAAATGTAATGCTTCTCTAGGAAACAACTCTGTTTAATTAAGTACCACAATTTCAGAGACCAGGTACATGTTATCCAACAATAACTGGTTAAAATAATTCTGCAATAGGAAATGTTAATGTCTTCTAAGACAGTTCAGAAATGTATCAAACACAATAGTAAGGGTAGAATAGGTGCTAGACTGGGATTCAGAAGACCTGCACATTTATTTAATTAGTACTTGGGCAAGTCATTCTGAGCTTCAAGTTATTAACCTTTCAAACTTAAATATACTTGCACTTCATGGTACATGTACGTATTAAATCAAATAGTTGTCACAACAGTACTACCAAAGACCAAATATTATACTCCATTTTATAGAAAGGTAAACTAAGATTAGGTGTGGTTATGTAAAGTTCCCAGTACACCCCACTTTTTATTGATGGAACTGTAATTAGAAACCAGGTCTGTTTGATTAGAAAGCCTATGCCCTTAGACTATACCATACTGACTTTAAAAGTGGTAATATATTCCTGCTACCTGATAGAGAACTGAAAGAGATGTTGAAGTATAGAGATATTTCATGAAAAAGTAAATACACATACACAAAAAAACATGACATAAAATGAAAAACAACAATAATTTATTAAAAGCAGTGGCTTCCAAAATTCAGAGTAAATTCCCTTAAATAGAATTCTCAATTCATTTCAGAATACACCTCTGTCATTCTTAACTTTGGCTTCACATTAGAATCACTCTGAGTTTTTTTTAATGTATTATTTCTGGACCCACCCAGAATGGCAAAATCTCACCTTTTGAAAACTCCCCAAGATTGGGAACCACCAACTGAGGTGATTTGATTTAAAAATTATGCCCATAAAAATAAAATGTTCTAATTTAGAAAGCTCTAGTTTCTAACTTTTATAACACCAAAGATGCCACTGCTTACTTTATCTTTTTCTGAGTCCAATGTTGGAAAAACTTTATTCTGTCCAACTGAATGAAATATAAGTTTCTTTTTCTGGTTTTCTATCCACCAAATGCCATACAGTTTATGATAAGCATTAGAAAACCATTGCCTTAATTTGATTCCAACTAATAGCAAAGAATCTTTGTATTTTGGGTAGCTTTCCATCTTTTGAAACATTATGATATAGCCTGTGGAATGTCGGAATCCAAGATTGAGAGTCAGTGGTCTGGGTAAAATCTTTAGTTTTAGAAATGAAAAAAATGAGGCTCAGAGAGGTTTTGACAATGCTTAAGAACAAAGCAAAATCAGCACTGAAGTCTCTTGCTTCAATAGAAGTTTTTTAAACTACAAGTCCAGGGCTCATATCAGTATTAATCATTATTTGAGAATGCTGAAACCACAGAAAAGGATTTGGGATTTGTTGGGGGATATGTTTGCCCGAAGACATTCTTATTTTGAATGATCTATTACATCTTCAAAATACAAGTGGGAATTGAGTATATTTAGCCATAGATTTGAAAGGCTGTAGCCTTTTAATTTTTATGTAAATTAAAATTACCTTCTATGAAAGATACCACCTCAAAATATCAATTTTTTGTGCTAACAGGTAGATTACCTTATAGTAATATGAAATATAGGAAAAAATAGATTACTCATACTAAAAATATCTGGATTCAATTCTGGTATTAAACTTGATTATTTGCAAGAAAATTTATAGATGCTTTGGTAGTCATTTCCTTTACTGTCAAAAATAGAGTTTAAAGAAAAATTACTATTTCTCTAAGGCCAATTTCAAATAGCTTATGATAAGAATGAAAAAAAAAAAACCAGAGTTAATTAGATTCCAACCAATAGCAAAAAATTTTTACATTTTGGGTAACTTTTTGTTGTACTGTAACTCCTTGGTTTCAGGATCCCTTTACATTAAAAATTACTAAGGACCCAAAAGAGTTTTTATTTAGGTGGGTTATACCTATTGATATTTACCACATTAGAAATTAAAACAGAGAAATTTTTAAAAATGTTTATTAATTTAATTTTAAAGAACAATGATAAACCCGTTACAAATTAACATAAATAACATTTTTATGAAAAATGACTATGCTGCAAACACAAAAAATTAGTGAAAAAAGTGGCACTGTTTTACATTTCCTCAAATCTCTTTAATGTCTAGCTTAATCAAAAACTGCTGTAGTCTCATATCTGGTTCTGCTTTCAATCTTTTAGGACATGTTATTTTGGTTGAAAATATAAAGAAAATCTGGCTTTGTAAAGATATATAGTTGAAAAAGGGAGTATTTTAATAGCAACTTAGGATATCTGTAGATATACTTCTTTGATACTACACCAAAATTCAAGAGTTGGTATTTTCTTAAAGGTTTGTTTCAATGTGGAATCTTATTCTTTATCACTGAACTCTTTGTACTTTGTTACATTAAAATCTATTGGTCTATCTTACACTTTGGTGGACTTTTTATGCATGATTTTGTAACATTATATATTGGTTATTTGAAAAATGTTGATTTCCTTGAATTATGCACATCTTCCAAATGGTGACAGAGTTCACTACACAATAACAAAAAATCATATTCATTAATACCACCACCCATGACAAAAGTCTTTAAGTACTGAGAAGCTATCAAGATCATGGTGGCAGATCCAAGTTTTCCAAAACTCTAATTTTTGCGTGAAAGCTCAAATTTTATCAATCATAAGAAATATTGTCAGTTGTTTTCCTTTAAGTGATAGCTGCTCTTTGTTCAATTTTGAGAAAATGTTTGCCAAATAACCAAGATTAAATCTGATAACCCTCAAGGAATCGAATGCTGCCAATAACAAGAGAACTTGGAATCAGATACTTCCCCAATTGAGTTTCAGATGAGACTGCAACCTCAGAGCCCACACCTTGAATGAAGCCTTGTGAGATCTTGAAACAGAGGATCCAGCTAAACCATAATCTGACTCCTAACCCACTAAAACTGTGAGATAAGAAATGTGTGTGATAACATTGATATGCAGAAATAAATAATACACCATGGTCTGTCAGTCATTCTTTCAAGTAGAAATGGTCTTCTGTTTTTTAAAAGTTGGTAGTTCAGCTCACAATTCAATCATACAAATGTTTTTCCTCAAGATAGCCATACTTCAAACACAGAAGTGCTTTATGAATATTACCCATTTTATCACACAAAATGTTTTTTAAAGACATATTCAAGAGTAGTTAAAAATATTAATAACATTTTAATACTCCATCAAAGAAATTGAGTAAAACTGTAATATTATTTATTGTGAGTGCATGGTGGTGACTAATACAGAATTACTAGTATAGCTTGGTACCACTGTCTTGATTCATACTAAGGCACCAGCAGTTTACCCATCATTGCTTTTGCACCATCAGTGCAAATGTTAACATGGTGAAAAAGGCAAATAGTGTCTCTGTATTATATGACAATAGTGTTGACTCTCAAACCCCAAATCCATGGAAGAGTCTCAGGGGAATCCCAGGGGATGGAAAACTGCATTTTAATAACTGGCACAGTAAGGCAATACTTTCATTTTTTCTTAAGTATATACATTTATACACAACATATATGTATGTATGTTTGCAAACATGTATGAACTATAGTTGAGTCTGGATTAAAATCCCAAATCTATTATTTGCTGTGTGACCCTGAGTGAATTATTTAATAACCGTGAGCCTCAGTTTCCTCAATTATAAAACAGGGATAATAATAGTGCCTACTTCATAGGAACTTTTAAGAATTGAATTAGATTAATTTATGTACAGCATTTAGCACAAAGCCTAACACATATTAAGAGTTCAATAAATATTAACTATTACAAATAACTATTACTTTTTGTTAAAAACTTTTTGTACTAAACTATGAAGGTAATGTTTCCAATAAAAAGCTATGACAGTCTCTCAACAATTTTCCCAGTTAAGATGTAAGAACACTTGGCCCAGTTTACAACCTTAAATAGTTTGGCATTATGCAATATTCATCACTGACTGTAATTTTATTCATGTTTTGATGGCACAGTTTTTAATACTGTACCTATTTAATTTAAGCATATTACCTGATTTAGGAACAGGCTGGGTAGTTAGTTCCTGCAGTTACTACTTTGGGAACTGGTTGAGTTATGATAAAGATGGTGACATTTTCTGATGCTGATTATGCTTCTATTTGATGACTACCCATGATAGTCCAGAATTTTAACTGGGTATTGTTGATATTGATAAATAATATCCAATGTATCCCTGAGCTGACTGTGTAGTTTCAGAAACACTTACAGGTTTAGACAAAGGCTGAACAATAACAGAACTATCTGAAGATCTAGATTCAGGATGAAAATTTACTGGCGAGGCAGCCACTGGATTTGATGTTGAGTTCGTGTAGTGTTGACTTGTAGGCTTGAATGCAGCAGTAATACCTGTATTTCAAAATTACACAATATATTGAATATATTTCTATATAATCAATGATATCAAAATACTTCACTTTAAAATTAAAATAGTAAAATTATACTGTACCTCGACTGAGTGCGCCATTCTTTATTCCTCTTGAATATGAGCTGGGGTTTACTCTATTCAAAATATCTATAAAAAATATTTATTTTAAAATTCATCGTTTGAATAAAATATATATATTAACAGAAATCATGAATTGAAAATAATTAGATTCCTGGAAGAAGTATATGTTATCACTGATTTAAAAATACAGTTAACATTAAACATATATATCTTTACTAATAACACAAGATTACCAGTCTAAATTGTCTCACAGAATTAGAACAACCTTTTTAATTATAACTCAAAATCCAAAAGCCAGAAGTAAAAGATGGATAAATCAGACTAAATACAAGTCAAACCCTCTACATGGCAAAGAAATAGTCCACATAATTAGTAAAAATTTTCCAAAAATACATTCATATACAACCTACAATTTAAGTACATAACTTGAAGATGACAGGACTGTATATACTCAGGTTCCTATTACTCAAATTCAAACCCTTGTTCAAACTCCATATCCCACTCACATCCCTAAAAGCCTTGAGATGTCCTTATGAGGGATCTCACTGGATTATCTGCACCATTACACTTTTGAGTTCTGAAAAGGAAACTATCAGAGACTGCAGACTAAAATGAACTTACAGTATTCCAGAATATCTTATAACTTAAGGGGTTTCAAATCTACCTCTATACCAGAAGTCAATCTGAGCCTAATAAGACTTTCAGGACAGTTTCAAATTCCTAATTCTTGTATGCATGTGAACTCTGTGACTTCCAGTTTACTCAATAATCAAACTAACATTTGGAAGAGTAGGCATATGCCTAAAATTGTTGGTTAGAAAAAGGTAAAAGCACAAACACACACCAAACATCATTGAAATTTCCTTCTCTTCTCTCATAGTAGAAAATAACGAAATCCCAAAAAATAATTCTGTAAAGGGCCACACAAAAAGTAGGGTTGTATCCCGATAAAAGCAATGCAGTACTCTATACTTAAACACTATAGACGTCTTATAGAAGAAAAATCTGCTCCAATTACTTAACACCATTTTCATTCAGTAATTCAAGATTAAGTATGTACCTAAACCATTAAAGAACTATTGCTAAAGTACTTTTTGGTGATTGTATTTTACAAAACACAAGATTTTACCCTCCTTCTGGCAGTTCTATATAAACACTCAACCCATAATCCTTATGTTGGTTTTATAACCAACAATAAAATCATTTAAATTCTGCATCTTAACAGTTCAGAAAATAAACTGTACTGGGGTCAATCTCTTTTTTGACAGAATTATTTTAAAACTAATATACACTCTTCTAGCTGAATACTATTAAATCATCTGTAATCAGTATAAATTCAAGTTGAATCTTAACTGTCATGTTTTCAATAAGAGAATTTCAATAACAATTTTGCAATATGGTAATATTCCAGTATAAAATAATCACAATGACTAGAAACAATAATTAAAGGAATGTGTAATTATGTTCTACTATCATCAACAAGCATCATTCAATTTATAATCAAAGTGGCACTCCACCTGAAACCTCCATGAGAGATTATCGACCTGTCACAGGAAATGGTACTGAGAATTAAATTGGTTAAGTTACTCTCCTTCTAATAAAAGTGAATAAAAGTATCATTATACATTTAGGGGTAATGGAAGAAAGAACCAATTTCAGAAAATTTTAAAGTAGTTTCTTAACCACACTTTTAAGCACCGCCTTGGTAAGAAAACCTAAAATTTGTACGTTATCTCTCTGTGTTTCTCTATATTTTTGAGTAGACTTTTTAACAGATGTCATTGGTCTTTGCTTTAACATTATAACAACGTCAAATCCAATTACACTAACTGAAATCTAATAATCCGCAAAGGTATTGAGGTGTTCTGCTAGAAAGCCATTAAGATTTAAGTTTATACTAACTGCTATGGCATCCAAGTACAGTGGCTGTAGACAGTAACCTACTCTTCCATGAATATAAATGGGAGTTGCTGAAAAATGAGTGTCAGAAGCCCTTGTTGGCATACGAGCCAGTGATTGTGCAATCATTCATTGCATATAAATTTTGTAGCTATGTACAGATAAATAGGTTAGCTGGCTCCATGAAAATTATGATTTCCAGTATCGAAAGATCTCCAATGTCACCGGCTAATCTTAGTCCATATCTTTTTCTCAGATCTGATATTCTAACCTCTTACCTCCTTCCTCAAGTCCCCAATCATATCCCAATCGTATTTCTGAAATTTTTACTTATCTCCCACCCAATCTTTCATCCCCAACTTCTTACAGAAGAACAAGGACATAAGTACCTATAAATTATAACACAGTTCATAACTTTTTCCATTGGAAACAATATCTGATAAAACTTGGCTTCAGTGAAAGCAAATGCTTACTTGAAATTGCTGGTTTTGAACTTGATATCTCTCCAACAAAGATTGGCTCATCATCATCATCATCCTCAACCTCTTTCACTTTCTTTTGCCATGGTTCCAACTCTTCTTCTTCACATTCCATAAAGAGTTCTGCCATTTTCGAATTATCTAATTTTCAAAAAGAAAGCAAACCTTATTTTCAAAAAGAAAAATTCATTTTTGTAACACATAGTATGATATTCAAGATCTACTTTAATAACTCCCATAGCAATTTCTAAATTGATATCTGTAGTTGGTACATGGTAGCAACAGTAAGAAACTCAGAGCTCATTCTCTAAGATAGAGATGACAGATAACTAGATAGAGAGACAAATAAACAGATATAAATAGAGAATGGTTGACTGTAGTTAATTACAATGGATAGAAAATTTGGGAACAGTCAGATTGAGTTTCAGTCATATGCCTGGAATAGGATTATACCTACAAAAAAGACTGCACCTAATCATTATCTGAAAAAAAAGTACGAACAAATGAGAGATAAACTAAAAATAAGAGGAAATTGGTGGGAGATGTACTAGAAAAAGTGAACCAAATTCAGTAAATGCCAGACACAGAGCAAAGCAGGGATGAGGTGCTAGACTAAAATAAGGGGAAAAAAATGAAGCTTATTCCATTCAGGGCAAATTAGATATTTCTCACCTGAAGATACAGACTAAAGAACATACAGTAACTATCACCACCCTAGATATTCTGACCAAAGACAGAGCTACCAGGAAGCATTTTTCTGCTTTGCTCTTAAATATGGACAACCAATAAGTACCAGAAATTTTAGAAAAACTTCCTGTCTTTCAGACCAAAATCAATAAAACAGAAAAAGAATCCTAAGGAAAAGCGGTGATACAGAGAGCAGGAAAAAAAAGAAAAGAAAATACAATTAGCATCTTTACAGCTATTATAAGAGAAGAAAAAAAATGTTATTAAAATACTCAGAAAACAAAAAAATAGGATTAAAAATATGATAGCAAAAATTTTTCAACTCAGGTTTTAAAAAATTGAAAATGTCTCTAGAGCTGGAATTGAGAGAAAAAAAACAGAGAACCATGCATACACACCACACTAAATAGATACAAGGTTAGAAAAGTAATTTCAAAGGTACAACATTCACCTAATAAAATTAACAGAAAGAGAACAGAGAAAAAGTAGGGGTAAGGAATCAAAGAAATAATGCAAGAAAATTTCCTAGATCAGAAGACATAAACCTCTGTGTTGAAAGGTCCCACTATATACCCAGATCAATGATCAAGACAAATTTATATCAAGATATAACATCATGAAATTTCAGAACAAAAGAGTAAAGAGAATATTCTCAGATCTGCGAGGGTGGGGGGCATAAATAGGTCACACATAAAATATCAATAAGAATAAGAACAGTAGCTAGAAGACAGTAGAATAATACTTTAAAAATTCTTACCAAAATTATTTTTCAGTCTAGAATTCTACACCCAAACTTTTCGTCAGGTGTGACAGTAAAAACTAGCAAGATCACACAAGATAGTCAATGCAGCCTTTCTCAGGAAGCTAGTATAGAATCCAGCAAAATGAGTCTTAATCAAAAAGAAGAAAACACAGAGATGTAGGAAACATAGCATTCAACACAAAGTTCCAGGACAAGAGAAGTTCAATAGGCCGAGAACCACTAGTCCAGGCTAGATCAAGAGAAGTGTACTTCAGAAGGAATGTCTCTGAGAGACCAAAGAAAAAAATGATTAAAATGTAAACTTTACAATTACCTACCTGTCAAGTTTTACTGTGTAAAAAAATTGAATTGAGAAACTAATGAAGAGTATAGGAAGACTTGAGTACAAATTTTTAAAAACTTAGCGAATGAAAGTATTAATTACTGGATAAACCAAAAGAAAGGGGAAAAAAAGAAAGATCTGCATCCCCCATATGCTAGTCTCTGTATAACAGCATATTAATAGCATTACTACACTCATCAGTGAACATTATTTATTATGGTCATAATGAAAACATCAAATATGGATTTAGTCAAAAATTGAGATATTGTATTAGGAATAAGTTGAAGGGGTAGCTGTAAGAAAGCAAAAATCAATATTAGAAATGGTTAAAACATTACGCAACAGACAGCACACATACATATGTACATAGGCATACAAGCACTGTTCAAGAAACTGTGGTTAAGCCATTTCTAGCCTTTTCAGATTGTTTGACTTTTAAAACTATGTGCACATATTTCTGTAAGCTGAGAAAAAAGAAGAATGAGGAAGAGGAAGGGAAGGAAGACATTACTGAGGGCCTAAACTAAATAGCAACAAATGGATACAAGTGGTACTAAACTAGATAAATGAAATAAGACATAAAAGACTACAGTGCTTTGGGGATGGCTACAAAGGAAATACTTTGCCAAATTAGGTGCAAATCTTCTACAAATTTTTTAAAAAATTTTCCCTTCTATAAAACTATATAACAAATCATTTCTTGATCTAACATTATTTAAATGTTTAGTAGTCCACCTACTAAAAAACTGTTATCTTCCCAAATGTCATGAACAGAATGAACTGATTCCTTTCTTTTCTAAACTATACTGCTTTACTAATTATATATGAGTTCTTTAAGTCAGATGTTTAAAAATATTATATGTCCAAGGCCAAACTGAGCATCTTGAGAGTATATTTCCCTTTACACTTCAGATAGGCAGGAGGCACACAGTATATAATAATCTATGGAGTAGGAACTAAATAAGCAAAGTCAGGCAATACTTAATTTTTAAAAGAATTAGAAAACTTCATTGTACACCCGTCCCTTAATTTACGTGGATCATCTGCTACACGCGTTTTTATGTGGAAGAAAACTGTGTAAAAAGAGTCCACCACTATGAAAAAGATACTAAAGAAATAGGTCAATTTAAGTCATAAAAATATTTATTTCACATATTTTCACCAAAAAATGCTAATGAAAATTCAGAATAACCAAAATAAATTTTATTTGCTGTCAGTGTCTGTGCTGTAATCTAAAGCAATCGACCTTCTCTTTTTAACTGGCACAAAGTCACTATCTTCATCACTCAAAATATTTGGAAGTACATACTCACATTGCTTGCTATATGTAATACTTTATGTGGCATCAATTCCAGGTTTTCAATTTTCTCAAAAATTTTTTACAAGTATATGTCCCCTTTAAAATTGTTATAAGTAAAAACAGCTCATGTATAATATTGGTTACTTGTGTTTACTTACACTGAGTTAAGACGTGTTATCTTTAAGCCTTAGCGATGTAATCACAAAGCAATATGCATGTGTTACTAGTATCTTTAATTGAATTATGTTGCAACTGGTGTGTTGTGTCAATATTACAGCTATCAATTAGTGAGTTAACATTTTGTTAAATTAGTTTCAATGGTTACTGACCGCAGCACAACAATCAACTTTCAAATGTTGCAGTGATAATTGTGTATTAATATTATTTCTTTGTACACTGCTGAGTTAAGCTATTGTTCTTCAGAAAGAGTAATCACCAATAATGGAAATGAAAAAAAAAAACAGTGTAAAATGAGACCATGTAAATGGAAACCAGGAATAAAAAAATCCACATAAATGGGCGGCAGGGGAGAATATTTACTACGTATATAAAAAAAAAAATACCGCGTAAATCAAAGGATTGGGTGTGTACTGATAAAAAAAGGTATCATTTATTTCCGGTTGGTATATGTTACCGGGCTCAACTGTGTTTCTCAAAAATTCACGTGCTGAAGTTTTCAATGCCAGTAGCTCACTATATTTGGAGACAGGGACTTTAAAGAGGTAATTAAGTTAAAAAGAGGTTACAACAGTGAGCATTAATCCAATATGAATGGTGTCTTTAAAAGGAGATCAGGACACAGATATCTGCATGGAGGTAAGACCAACTGAAGACATAGGAAGCAGATGGCCATCTATATGAAGAGAAGCCTGGAACAGATCTTTCCCTCACGGCCCTCAACAGGAACCAACCCTACCAACACCTTGATCTTTTAGTCTCTAGAATTGTAAGAAAATAAATTTCTGTTGTTTAAGCTATCCAGTCTTTAGTACTCTGTTATGGCAGCCCTAGCAAGCTGATGCAGAAGACAAAGGTCTTCCTCATTCTTTTAACAGGGCACTGCCATTATCAATACAGTAGTCCTCTTTTATCCATGGAGGATACATTCCAAGACCCCCAGTGGATACCAAACCCTATGTATACTTTGTTTTTTCCTATACATACATACACACCTATGATGAAGCTTAATTTATAAATTAGGCACAGTAAGAGATTAACAGTAACTAATAATAAAATAGAACAATTATAATATATTACAGTAAAAGTTATGTGAATGTAGTCTTTCTCAAAATATCAGATGCTACTGTACTCATCCTTCTTACGATGATGTGAGTTGATACAACGCCTACGTGATGAGATGAAGTGAGGTGAATGATAGGCATTTTGACATAATGTCAGGCTACTATAAGGGGATGTGAACACAAGCACTGAGACACCTCAACAGTTGTTCTGTCTACTGAGACAGCTACTTAAGTGATTTGACTAAAGGACAGGTTATATTATGCAGCATGGACACACTGGACAAAAGGATGATTCTCATACAGGGCAAGATGGAGCTGGACAGCAAGATTTCATCAAGTTACTCAAAAGGTACACAATTTAAAAATAATGAATTGTTTATTTCCGGAATTTTCTATTTAACATTTTCAGACCATAGTTGACTACAGGTAACTGAAACCACAGAAAGTCAAACCTCGGATAAGGAGGGCCTACTGTATGTCTAGTATATACCATTGGAAAAAAATTTTAAAGATATATAATAGCTTTATGATTTTTTTTAGAAATATTTTGTCTATGCATAGAAGAAACATATGTGATTATATATACCAAACTGATAATTAATAGTACTTATCATTGGGAGTAGGGAGAAAATATTTCATTTCTACTTTACTCATCTCTTAATTTGTTTTTATGTGAGCATTTGTTACTTTAACAATTTGAAGTGTTTTTATCTTTAACGCATTTCCCATTTAGAAAAAAAAGTGCAGCTCTCTGCCAATGTTAATTTAATTTTACATAAACACTCTTTGAGGCTGAAGCAAATCTAACCGGTTTTTAATGTGAAGATA